CGAGAGCGCCCCCTCCCTGCGCTCCTGGAGCTGCTTGGTCCTGAGCCGGCCGGCCTGTGCTCCCTGCGCGCCCTTCTCAGGACCTGCGAAGGGAGAAGACTCCTAGTAAGATGAACTTGTGCACTTAAGTCCCCTTTCCCGGTGCTCTCCTGTTATTTTTTAGGCCTTAACTGTTACAGAAGAACCTTCTGTCCTCAGCCCCGGCAATCTGCGCTCGGTGTGGAGATGGCACCAAGGCCAAAATCGAGGTTCCACACACCGCGGCTCCTGAACACTGGGGTTGGGGACCACTGGTCAATGAAGGGAGAAGTCCAGCTCAGTAATCTGCCTCTTGCATGCTTTTCTTCATATCCCCTTTCACGAACTTGGAGCAGAGAGCTCCTGAGCACTGGGATTTGGGGCAACTATTCAACCAGGGACGAAGTGAGGCTCCTTCGGGATTCTTCTTGCATGCTTTTGGGCATATTTCCTCTGGTGGGCATTTGCGAGTAGATTTGGATGCTGAATGTCCTAGCTGCTGTAGGTCTAGTAGCTAGCAAGGCCAAAGTCTGGCCAACTAGTAACTGGAAACAATCAAGGCCCATGACTTTAATCCCAGCCTTTAGGAGGCAGAGGTAGGAGGTTCTCAGTGAGTTCAAGGTCAACCAGGACTACATATGAGACCCTGTTTGTTTGTTTGTTTATGTCAACAGGAGTGTGAGGATTGAATATAGCTCGATCACCTTAAACAGCATCTCCATCCTCCCCTTACACCTGTAACTTCACAGCAACAAGTAATTCCAAGTTAATTTGGATAAAAGAAATAGCAGGTCTGTGCTCAGAATTTGTGGGGTCAAATGCAACTCAACCCTGTGTATTATTTTAAGATCCCAAGACTTAACATTTTCTCATGGATAGTTACTATAGATTGCATGAGAGTGTTTTGTGTGCCTTTCTAGAGCATGTAGGTTCTTTAGTTTAAAAAGGTATTGATAATAATTACTATTATTATTGAGAAAATGTTACTATGTACCCTAGTGGAAGGAAGACCTACATCTTGCAGCCTTCCTTCATAGAGCTCTGGGATTACAGGCAAGTGCTACATGCCCCAGTTAGGAAACTGTATTTGCAAAATTCTACAATGTTCTTTTAACTTGTTGACTTTGTCTTCTGCTGAGTCAGAGCCTCTGGCCTTGTACTAGACACATTTGGCAGAAGTCATAATAGCAGCATTTAATTGTGTGTGCAGGTGGGTGTGCACATGTCTGTGCCTGTGTTTGTTTACTATTTTGTCCCGCATTTTATTGAGGGAATTGGGGAGAGAAGGGGTCAAGAGAAGGATGGCCTTGGGTGGCTATCACAAGCTGGCCTGGATGCCTGATGTCTGTAGGGGGAGCTGCTGACAGCCCGTTCTATCTCCTTCAGATCAGGTCTTAATCACTGTAGGCCCCAAACTTGCAATCACCTATGGATTTTAGTTTCTAGTCCAGAATTTATTCATATCCTCTCTCTCTCTCTCCCTCCCTCCCTCCTCTCCCCCCATCATCCCTCTCTCTGACTTTAAAAAAACAAACCAGAAATACAAAACAGGATTTATTTCTGTAACCAAAGCTGACCTCAAAGGCACTATGTAGCCCAGGCTGGCCTTGAACTCAGCAAGTCCACATCATCAGTCTTCCAAGTGCTAGGGTTATAGGCATGTGTCACCACCCCTGGCTTGAGAAGCTGTTTGAAGCCCTTCCTACTCCCCTTCCCAGATGTCTTGCCCGCCAGGAACCATAGCAGCAATACCTATGATCCTATCACTCTCGGCGTTTATTTCTTTTAAAGTGAGGAGGAAAAAGAAAACCCAATTTAGGTATAATCTTGCTATATTAATCTTCACACCAATTCGGTAGTAAAATCATCATTTACTTATCTGATGAAGGAAGAAGGAGCTCACCAAGGCAATAATCTCTCTAATCTGTGAAGTGGTACTCCCCACTTCCCATACTGCTTTGTGCCCCCCAGCAAGCTCCCATTTGGAGTGGGAACAATTCTTCCAGCCTCCCAGCTTACTTTCCAGTGTCTCCCAGATCTTGGGTAGGTATGTTCACTTAGGACCCATAGGAGAAATGTCCCAGGAGGCCAGGATCTGCCCTTTTCTCCTTATGTTCCTGGGCACCATTAGTTTCCAGTTCCTGGCTTTTAAAACTTATTTGTTTGTGCAGAAGAGAGGGGTGTGCCAGATTTAATTCTCTCCTACCATGTGAGTCCCAGGGATTGGACTTAGGTCCCCAGGCTTGGCAGCAAGCACCTTTACCTGCTGAGCTGTCTCTAAGGCCCCAGTTCCTGGCTTTGTCCACCCTCTTCTCCAGCTGCTATCATGGCCCGGTAATGATAGTGACTGGAGAAATGAGCTGCTCTAGTCTGGACACTAAAATTATCCCTAAAGCCGGGCCTGGTGGCTCATGCTTGCATTCCCATCACAGGGAGGTAGAGGCAAAGAGACTGAGAATTCAAAGTAAGGGCTGGGAAGATGGCCCATGGGTAAAAGGGCTTGCCTCAGAAGCCTAATGACCCAAATTCAACCTCCAGAACCATGTGAAAAGGAGGATTCTGTAATCCCATCACTTCTATTGGAGGTGAAGACAGATGAACCATCTGGAAGCCCTGGTTAGCCTGGAATACTCAGAGAAGTAGACCTGCCTCAAGAGGGACCATGCCTCAAAAAAGTTTGTGTGTGTGTGTGTGTGTGTGTGTGTGTGTCCTGAAACTTGTCATCTGACCTCCACAGGTGCACCTGCATTCACACTCACAAATGTACACACACACACACACACACACACACACACACACTAAAAAAGAAAGAAAGAAAGAAAGAAAGAAAGAAAGAAAGAAAGAAATAACGGCTACATAGGGAGTTTGAGAACAGCCTAAACTACATGTGTGCCTTATTAAAAATATTTTACCTCATTTATCTCCACATGGAGACCTGATTTCATTTCAAAGGCTTCATTCAATTCTGCTTTATATTCATATTTAAAATTTTAGAAATGATCTTATACTGACTATCTGAATGCAAAGATGCAAAGTCTTCTTCTTGATTAAAAATAAATCAATAAATGGGTTTGGGTTGTACCTCAGTGGTAAGACATTTGCCTAGAATTAAGGATTTGATCCTCTCCACTACAAAAATCAAACAAAACTAACATGGAAAAACAACAAAAATCCATGGTAAATTTGAGTGGGAAAGTTTTTTTCCCTGAATATAGTTGTGAACATATATTGCACTTACTGAATACTAATCTCCATTAAAAGTGCATTCTATATTAACCCATCTGATGTTCTCAATGGCTCCTAAGTGGAAACTATTACTGTCTCTGAATCACAGGGAAGCAGAAGCATATTTTAATAACTTGCACATGGTCTTTCATTGAGCCTAGAGCTAGCTGACTTAATTAGGCTAGCTGACCAATGGATTTCTGCGATTTGCCTCCCTCTGCCTCCCCAGCATTGGGGATACGGATGCCCATTACTATGCCTGCCTTTTACATGATGGTAAGGATGAGAACTCGGGTCCTCGTGCTCTTTAATGACTAAGCATCTCCTCGGCATTTCAGATAGTTTTCTTTCTTTCTTTTTTTTTTAAGATTTATTTATTTATTATGTATACAGGGTTCTGTCTGCATGTTTGCCTGCCGTCCAGAACAGGGCACCAGATCTCATTACAGATGGTTGTGAGCCACCATGTGGTTGCTGGGAATTGACCTCAGGACCCCTTGCAGAGCAGTCAGTGCTCTTAACCGCTGAGCCATCTCTCCAGCCCCAGTAAAGCCCTCAGATAGTTTTTTTTTCTTTCATTTTGATACTGAGAACTATGGTTTAGCCTTCCCTTAAAGTATAGTTTTAAGAGAAATATGTGATCCTGTTTTCATGGTTACAAAATAACACAAACTTCATAAAAACTCCAAACAATATTATCATACAACCATCACATTGTACTGTGAGGAATTCCTTCCTTTTTATTGCAATAATAAATATAGTCCTTATAAATTTGAAATGCATAAAGTACACAAGAAGTTTGGGATTAGTATTGGTTAGTAGCAGGACCCACTTCTTTGTCTGGTGCTTTTGTGTGACTTGGTTTTCTGATATCTGCTTCTCCCTTTTAGGCAAGATTTTTTCCTGGTGACCCTTGGTAGCCCTCTTTCTGCTATCTTTTTTTTAAGATTTCCATTACACTTATTTACTTGTGTATGTGAGTGGGGAATCGATTCTGTTCTTCCTCCATGTCGATGAGCTCAGGTCATCAGGCTTGGCAGCAAGTGCCTTTATACACTGAATCATCTTGCCAGCCCTGTTTTGAAGAAAAGATTTCAGTGTAGTCCAGGATAGTCTCAAACTCCTGTAAGTCATCCTGTCTCAGCCTCTTAGGACAAGAGGACACAGAGGAGGGCACATTTGTTGAAGGGACAACTGGTTCCCACTTTGGTTGATTGTCATATCATGGAGGGATGTTGGGTCAGGAGGTCAGTTTTTGGGATTTTATTTTGTTTTGTACAGAGAGCTAAAATTCTAGATTTATTTGTGAATTTAAAAGAAAGTTAGTCTGGTTAGGTATGCTGGCTCATACCTACAGTAGGAACACTGGGAGGTACAAGCAGGAGAATCTGGCATTTAAGGTCATCCTTGGCTACATAATGAGGTCAGAGCATTTTGGCATACACAGATCTCATTGACAAAACCAAAAGCAAGCAAAGTGGTGTAAGTTTATAAACACCCTGCTAGCCAAATTAAAAACAAAACAAAAAAACCCAACTTCTAGCCTGTGGCCTAAAAAGTAGCTAGAAGCAGTCAGCCCCAGTGCCCCTAGGTGCGGAGAACTACAGAATTCATTTCCTGGGTTTGAATGGGGTTGAGTTAAGATTACAAAACAAACTCTGCCTGGCAGACAGCCGACTCAAATTATTCTGTCTTTTGTTCATTCATCTCTTCCCCTTTCTTAGCCTGAGAATGAATACTGTTTCCCCGAGTCCTTTGGAAGCACTCTACTGCTTTCTGCCTTTACAATGCATCATCTGGGTGTTAAGATCACCACCATTTATGTCCACGAATAACCTGAATGGCTTCCCTTGTTCTTCCTGTTGCTGATTGGCTACTTCATGATGAGTATGTTCTGAACCAAGCATTGTCCAGACCCTTGTCTCTTATCCGTAATCTGCTTCCTTCCTCCACCTTCCAGGTGCAGTCAGTATCTTTGGGCTGCAGGAATCCTTCCTTGCAACACATCTCAGGTAAGTCCTGTTGGAAGAGCCAGAGTAGAAGGCCAGGAGTGGCTGGGGTTGTGTAACACAGAGAAGTGTCAGTATCTGTTGCCAAATACAAAGAGAGAAGCCGGTTCTAGGTGATCACCATAAAAGCTTTCCCAGCATGCTCTTGTGGCTTGGGAGGATGAGGAAACTCAAGTTTGAGCAGAGGATGCTCAAGATGCTGCCCTTGGATCAGGTGGCAGTGTAATAGAATGACCATCAATTGGCACAGGTGAATATCTTATTTAGAAAGCAAATTGAAGGCAAGTCTGGTTTGCCAGGCCAGTTGTGTGTTGAGGGAAAATCTGGGTGGCTGGGATGATAAAGTGCCTCTAGCAAGAGGTTTGATCTAAGATCTAAGCAGATTGCTTTCTCTCCCCTCCCAGGTGTCCGTTTGCTATTCTGGGAAAGCTAAACTGTGGGTTGATCCATTGACTTTATTGGAAAACAGGACTATTTTGAAACAAGGCTTGGTTTCCTGTGTCAGTAACCTGTGTAGAGGGAATACACCGAGTCTGCGCCTGGATTTTGGAATCATAGTTTGACTACAGCTTGGATTGTTTCTACATTAGCAGAGCAGCTGGGAAGAGATGACAACATGCCTACTGGCAGGCTGTGGTCTGGCCTGCTGCTCCTGCTGTCTTTTTTCTGCTCGAGAAGTTCATCTTGTGGTCTCTCAACACATGTAGAAATAGGTAAGTACTGGGCCTGATGTATCTGTCTGTCTGTTTTAGAGACAGGATCTCCTGATGTAGTTCTGGCTAACTTGGAGCTCACTGTGTAGAACAAGCTGGCCATCTTCCCACCTTTCCTGAGGGCTGGGGTTTGAGTGTTCTGCACCATTCCTGGCCCTTTGTGTTAGTTTTTAAAGATTATTAATTTTAATTTTTTTGTGTGTAGGTGTGTGCACATGAGTGCAGGTGCCTTCAGAGGTCAAAGGCATCAGATCCTTCTGGAGCTGGAATTTTGGCAATTATGAGCTATACCACATGGGTGCTGGTGACCAAATTATGCCCCTGTCCAGAGCAGTATGTACCCTTTACAACTGAGCCATCTCTCTACCCCTCTTTGTGTGTTATTAAAAGGTCAAGAATCTACCAGTAAGCTTAAGGAAGAGATTGAAATTCTACTCCACATATTGGCACAACTCTCCCTGCTGTGGGAAGTGGCCTGACAGTGGAGAAGAGAGACAAGATTGAAAGGGTCCAGAGCTAGGAAATGGCAGGTGGGCTTGATGGAGGGATAGGCGGGTGACAGAGCTGAGGTCCTTTATGTTAGGCCACTGGGTGTTCCTGGCTGGGGACAGTAAGAAAGTCACAGAACTAGAAGAGAATGGAAGTGGATGCTTATGGCAGGAGTGTGAGATTATATTTGTTGCTTCTATACTTCCAAAGACAGGCATTTCCAATAGATGTAAAGGGCCAAGTGTGGCCATAGAATTGTTCTCTGAATCAAGTGGCTGTTAATGGCTCTTATGCATATGACACATCATTTGAGCTTTAAGGTCACCCTAATTTTCATCACTGACCTAAATTATTTCCCATGGGTTAAGTACTACCTATTGGCATTAAGGTGCTTGGCTTCAGGGAGGTTAAGGCACCTGGTGAAGCTGAGTGGTTGCTAATATCTATAAGCCCAGCTTAGCATTAAGAGTTCTGCAGGGAAGGTCACACACTGCAGGGAAGGTCACACACTGCAGTGTATCTGACCTTAAGGGCAGAGGCAGAGTTATCTGGAGTATACTCGTTATCTAGCGCTGGCTAGTTATTGTCAACTAGACAATTCTGGGAACAGGGAGTCTCAACTGAGGAATTGCCTTCATCAGATTAGACCATAGATAAGTCTGTGGGACATTTCCTTGATTCATGATTGATGGGGGAGGCTCAGTTCACTGTGGGCAGGAGAAGTCTGGGTGTATAAATAAGCAGGCTGAGCAAGCTATGAGCAAGCAAGCCAGTAAGCAGTGTTCCTCCAGGGTCTCTGCTTCAGGCCCTGTCTCCAGGCTCCTGCTTTCAGTTTCTGCCTAGATTTCCCTCAAGAAAGGGCTGTGACTGGGGTGTGTAAGCCAATAAAACCTTTCCTCCCCAAGTTGGTTTTTGTCATGGTTTTTATTTCAGCAATAGAAATAAAACTAGGGTAAAGATAGTAGATTTAGATTAATAAAAAGAGGAGGTGTTTTTAGACTTACTTTTTCTAGCTTTGTTACGGTATACTTGATAAAAAAATGGTATAAATTTAAGGTATGTGATGTGACATGTTGATAAGCCAATTAAAATGCTCACTTTACATAGCCACCATCCTAAGCATGTGTGTGGATCTCTCTTATGAATGTATTTATGAAATTTTTTAGCATGTGGAGAGTGTAAGACAATTCATAATACAATCAAATAGCAGTGTATTTATAGCAATTTTAAGATTAATTTTAGGTAGATTTAATATTCTGGGCTTTCTTTTATTTCAATAAAGATGATACTATTTCATTCTTTTGCTATCTCTATCAGTTACAGAGAGTGACAAGGTTACAGATACACTAGGGAAATTTACCAGTGTGAAGTAGATGTGGATTCTGAGCCTTGGCAGGCAGGACCCCAAGATCACAGTTACCAGTATAAAGAGACACAGGTAGTTTTATTTGCAGATGAAGAAATGGATCTTGCTGTTTCAGTCTCACTTGTGTCTTGACAGTGAGTCTGCCATTCTTTTTATTAAACATCACTGCCGAAAGATAGTCAGGAACCAATGACAAAGGGACACAGACCTCAGCTATTAGACAGTCCTGCTGTAAACCAGCCGTGTGGTTCTGAGGAACCCACGGTACCTGTGTGCCCCATTAAACTGGGAGAGAGAAAGCTAATGAATTCTGAAGGAGCTTCCAAGTGACAGAAGCTCAAAGGGAAGACATGTAAATGAAAATAACTTAAAAAAAAATCCTTGGAGTAAGACAGATGGAAGCAGATGCAGAAATCCACAGCTAGTCATTGAGCCAAGCTCCTAGCAACAATAGAAATGACAGAGGATCGATAATATGAATAAAGGAGTCAAGACCATGATGGGGAAACCCACAGAATCAGCTGACCCAAGTGAGTGAGAGATCACTGACTCAGGTCTAACAAATGGGGAACCTGCATAAGACAGAACTAGACTCCCTTAGTATAGGTGACAATGGTGTGACTGGGACAGTATATGAGGCCACTGGCAATGGATCCAAGATCTAACTCTAATGCACAAACTGTCTTAGTGGAGCCCATTCTATATGGAGAGATACCTTGCCCAGCCTAGACACAGGGGTGTGGGGGGTGGAGAGGTGCCTTGGTCCTGCATCACCGAGATGATGGACTGATTTAGTAGACTTCCTAGGGGAGGCCTTACCCTCTCTGAGGAGCAGATGGGAGGTGAGGGGGAAGTGGGGTGACCGGAAGGAGAGGTGGAAGGGGCGACTGGGATTGGAATGTAAAAAATAAATTAATAAAAAAATGCAAAGCAAACAAATTTTTTTAAAAAACATCCTTGGAGTAAAACAAAAAAAAACCTTGGAGTTTTTGTGTTGGTTCCTAATGGATAGGTAAGTCCTAATGGATATTTAAAAATATCTAATCAGGTTGTGGTGGCTTATACTTGTAGTCCCAGCAAAGAGGCAGCAGAGGCAGGAGGATAATTGTGAGTTCCAGGCCAGCTTGTGTTACAGAGTGAAACCCTTTTTTACAACAATGATTGAGGTTTACAGATATGCATGAAATAGAACCTGCACAAATTCTAAAATTTTTCATGTAAAAGGCAACTGAAATTCCACCTTATATTTACCAACAACTTAGATGGTACAGCTGGTTCATTTTTTTCATTTCTTGTGTGAGGCCTGAGTGGAAGATTGATATTTATGTCAACCTGTTGGATCTCTCTCTCTCTCTCTCTCTCTCTCTCTCTCTCTCTCTCTCTCTCTCTCTGTGTGTGTGTGTGTGTGTGTGTGGCTGGGGGGGTATTATGGAATAGGCAGATTTCTGAGGTAACCTTGTCCTTCCAAAATATTTCAATCATGAAATACACTTGGAGACTATTGGTTTATCTACTCAGTCTGAGGCAAATGCTGTGACAGTTTCTGTTTCCCAAGTTCCTCCCAAATGACTATTACTGTGTCTTCATTTAGTATTTATTTTCTGTGGTTTTCTCAGCCTACCTGTAATTTTGTTTTCACTTCACAGAGGAGGGAAATGAGATCTACAGTGTTAGGTAATTTGTCCAAGGTCATAGTTAAGCAGAAAATTTAAATGTATCCTGATAATATAAATATTTTTGAAACAATTATGCCTTAGTCAGGCATGGTGAAGGATGCTTTTAATCCTAGCATGTGGGAGGAGACAGGTGGATTTCAGGGAGTTCAAGGCCATCGTGGTCTAGAGAGTCCCATGACTGTCAGGGCTACACAGAGAGACCCTGTCACAAACAAACAAACAAGCAAACAAAGCAAAGCAAAGCAAAGCAGTTATGCCTAAATAAAACCTCAAATGAGTACAATGTTACTTATTATTTCCAGTTTTCTCCATAGTTTACAAATAAAAAAATATATTTTCCTCAAAAAATGATCTCTACAGGGCTAGAGATCATTAGGTCAAAGTTCTTCTTGCTCTTACAGGGGACCCAAGCTCACTTCTGGCACCCATGCTGGGGGGCTCACAAATGTGTGTAGCTCCAGCTCCAGGGGATCCCATGATCTCTCCTAGCTTCCATGGACAACTGCACTCATGTGCATATAAACACACATGCACACACACACACACACACACACACACACACACTTTAAAAAGAAATCTTTTAAAAATGTTCTCTGGTAAGTACAGTTGAACTTAGCTCATATGATATTGATTTCTTTCAGGACACAGGGCTCTGGAGTTTCTTCAGCTTCAAGACGGACACATTAACTACAAAGAGGTACGGAGCTGGATTTCTGCTGATTGTACATACATTTCCCTCTGTGGGTGTCAAACACAGGTCTAAACAGATCTTTAATCCTAAGTGTTGTCCTTATGTCTTTATAAAACTAATGTTATAATTAAAAGTACACATCCCCTTTCAGTGCCACTCAGGCATTATATATGTATGTATACGAATATATCTATCAATTTAAGTTTTAAATATTTTTAAATTTAAATATGTAAATAATATAATTCATAATTTGAAGACATGTTGTTTCTTTGCTTTTTGCAATATTTGCTACAGAATCCAGGGCCTTGTGCATGCTAGGCAATAGCATTCCCAGTGAGCTACATCCCTGGTCCTTGAAATAATTTTTATATGATTTTTTTCTTATAAATTAAAGGTCATCCTTGAGAGAAATTACTCATTCTTTTCTACTTTTTATCACTATATGTTGTCCACATCTTTATCCTCAGGGGAGCAGGAAGAGTCTCTCTCTCTCTCTCTCTCTCTCTCTCTCTCTCTCTCTCTCTCTCTGTGGTGTGTGTGTGTGTGTGTGTGTGACTAGAGTGTATTGCTGGAAACTGAACCCAGGGCCATGCCTGTTCTAAATAAGAGTTGTAGCTGCAGCTTGAACTCAGAAGCCAGAGATCTTTATGAAGAAGTGTACTATTGCTGTGTCTCCTCCCACCTGTAGGACTATATGATGGGTCACTTGTGTCCATCCTCAAGTCAGTTTAACCATATGTGTCCATATACATTGTTACTAGTTGTATAATAATAATAATAATAATAATAATAATAATAATAATATACATAACATTCTATGGCAAAGATGAGTCGTAAGACTGGCATTGATAACAGTGGTTGGCATTTTCTTTTGACACCAGAACTGACTGAGACCATTGGTCTGATGAGATGGCTCAGCAGGTAAAGGTGCTTGCTGCCAACCTGCCAACCTGAGTGTCTGATACCTAGATTCCAGACAGTGGAAGGAAAAAAAACACTTCAGAAAGTTGCTCTCTGACTTCTACATATGGACTATGGCACACACACAAGTAACTAAGTGTAAAAAGAAAGGAAGGTGGACAGACAGGCGTTGTTAATCCCACCAACTGAGTATAAGACCACTACCACAGTTTAAAGCCAAATTTGAAGCAAGCTTTAATTAAATACTGGCCAGGTGCATCTCTGGTTTCCCAGAAAAAAAAAAAAAAAGGCCCAGAATCAAGTTTTGCAGCAGCTTAAGTATCTCCCATCAGGTCCTGTCAGGGGAAGCATACATCCTGATGTACCTCCAGCCTATATTCAATCAGGTACAAGCATACATTCCTGATTTATTTCCAGCCTGTGAAACTCCCGCCCACATGTGATCAAGCACATCCGGTGCAGATGGGTCAAACACACTTGTTTAGAGGAGTGAAAAACACGTGGCTTGTTATCTCCCATAAACAAGAGCCTCCAGCATTTCAGGCACCATCTGTCCTTGGCCAAGGGGCTTGCAGATCAGAGGCATCTTTTTGTTTCATGGATCTCTAAGGTCAATTAATTAAAACCTAAAATGTGATGCTGGCTCTTATAGCATGCAGCAAGTTCTGGAAAGGTCCTGGACACAAGCACTTCCTCCATATTGAGTTGGAGCTGGCCCCCTCCTAGTTCCACAATGAGCTTCTTAAATAAGATTTTTAAATTGTATTTATTTATCTATCTTGTATGTGTTTTGGAGGGAGGTGCGTGCCATCTCTTTGGCTCAGGATGAGGTATTGTTTGTATTCCTTCAAGCTTCCTTGTGCCCAGCTGTCCATAAAATGTACCTTGTCCTCTGGAATTCTATGGAGGTGTCATTGTGTGGGCTGACGCTGGACAACAGCATCAAGGGGTTTGATTTAACGTTCCTTGCCTGGGTGGGGAAGTCCAGCAGATGCTCAGGTTGCTCAACTGTCCTTCCCTATAAGATAGGGTAAGGCAAGCATTTTTTAGGGTCAGACTCAGGCCAAAACATCCCCACCTTTAAAGTTAGAGATTCTGGGACCTGCCTGGGCAGGGAAATTCTAGTTTTTATATTCCACATTTGGAGGAAGGTATGTGACAGGAAGCGTGAACAAAATCCACACTCATGTATATGTACTTCATAGTATACACATACACTCACACACGAGCACGCACACAACCCACAAACCCAGCCTTAGTTCCTCTTGTGTTTTACTGGAAAAATCTGATAAATATTCAGATTTGATAGAGGTTTTGCTTTTATGGTTTGCTTTCTTATTCTTTTCACCCTTTCCAGTTTGGTAGATAAGCAAAATTGGGTTGGGCAGAGTGGTAAACGCCTGCCATTCCAACACTTGAGAGGCTGAGGCAGAAGGATCAGTTCAAGGTCTCCCTTGATTATATAGTGAGTTCAAAGCAAGCCAAGGTTATAAGTGACCCTGTCTCACAAAAGAGTATTTTGTTCCAGGTTTAACTTGGCCTTTCAATTATTAATTTATTAATAAGGTTCAATATATTTCAAGAGAGTAGAAATTTTTCTATTACCTCATCTGTTAATAGCCTATGTCTGATAATGGTTTATTATCAGGATTACCTTTCCCTTGGTATGTAACAAAGGCTTAACACACACTAAGCTCCTAAACCAGAAGCTGATAAGATTCTTTATGCCTTTTTAAAATTTATGTGTATATGTGTATGTATGTATGTATGTATGTATGTATGTGTGTGTGTGTGTGTGCCACATGTAAGCATGTGCCTGTGGAGGCTATAAGAGAGTGTCAGATCCCTTGGAGCTGGAGTTACAGGCAATTGTGAGCTTCCTGATGGGGGTAGTGGAAATTGAACTCTGGTCCTTTGGAACAGCAGCAAGAACCTTTAACCACTGAACTGTCTCTAAAGCTTATTATTTATGATTTTTAAGTGGCAGACATCCAATTCTGTGGCTGGTGAGATGCTTCAGTGGGTAAAGGTACTCTGTATCAAAGCTGATGACCAGGGTTTGAGCCCCAGAATCCATGGGGATGGAAGGAACTTTTTCCTGAAAGCTGCCCGCTGACCTCCATATGTGTGCTATGGCACACATTCATCCACACAGGTGAATGTACACATGCGCGTGTGCGTGTGTGTGTGTGTGTGTGTGTGTGTGTGCGTGCGCGCGCACGCACACACACACACACACACACACACACACACACACAGAGGCACACACATGCACACACGCATAATAATAATACATAAAATTTTTTTAATAAAAGGAAAGAGAAAGAAAACAGTTGTACCACCAAACTTGACTGGATTGTGTCCTTCACCGTCCCTTTGCAGAAGCTCTTTGATCTAGCTTAGATAGAGAGGGATTAAAGGCCAGGAGTGAAGGAACTGGCTGTCACCCCTGTGTGAGAGTCAGAAGTACAGCTCCAGCAGTGTCTAGAAATGTCTAGAAAGGTCTCCAGGAGCAACATGCAAAACGATGGTACTGAAAACTGCCCATGTGCCTGTTGTCACAGCCACTGTCCTGCAGGTTAGCTGCAGAGTCAACAGACTTCAACACAGTCAATTTATTTTGGCAAATGCAGATCCATCTTGAGCACTAGTAACAGACCCTTGTAACCCCAGCCCATGCTCTTGGTGAACCTGATGTCCTGTGCTCTGCCTGTGAGCAATTGGATGCTGGTGTTCCACTAGGAGCCCCTGCATCTCTGCTGCAGAGAACCCACAGGCTTCCAAGCTAGTGGGAGAAGTAGGAGAGCTCTATGGCAGAGCTGGGGCTATCCCAAGCGCTCTGGAGAGTCAGTCTCTGTTTCTTAGCCTATAGCCTGAGCTTGCTATGCCATAAGAGTCAACAAAGAACTGACTGAGTTCAATAAAGACATTCTAGAGAAAAACCCTGCTATCCATTGTCTCATCATTTCCTCTCTCTCTCTTCTTTCTTTCTTTCTTTCTTTCTTTCTTTCTTTCTTTCTTTCCCTTCTTCTTCTTCTTCTTCTTCTTCTTCTTCTTCTTCTTCTTCTTCTTCTTCTTCTTCTTCTTCTTCTTCTTCTTCTTCTTTCTTCTTCTTTTTTGGTTCTTCGAGACAGGGTTTCTCTGTGGCTTTGCAGGCTGTTCTGGATCTAGCTCTTATAGAACAGGCTGGTCTCGAACTCACAGAGATCCACCTGCCTCTGCCTCCAGTCCTTGCACATGCACACAGCAGTTTGTTGTTGCCACCTATACATTTGTGTTAAATCACAAATACATGTATAAATGTGTGTGTTTCCAGACAGGATTTCTCTATGTAGCCCTGGCTGACCTTGAACTCACTCTGTAGACCAGGCTGGCCTTGAACTCACAAAGATCCTCCTGCCTCTACACCCCAAATGTTGGGATTAAAGGTGTATATCACCAACCACTTGTGTGTGTGTGTGTGTGTGTGTGTGTGTGTGTGTGTGTGTGCATGTATATTTTTCTTATTTGACTGTAATCACTGAAAGTCTTGTCCTAAACCAATTTTGAATCAGCTGAATAGTCTTATGGAAAGCCAGGAATGGTGGTTGGTATAAGCCTGCAACCCCAGCACTCTGGAGATAGAGGCAGAAGGCTTAGGAGTTCGAGGTCATCTTTGGCTATATAGCAAGTTCAGACCAGCTGGGCTACAGGAGACCTAGTATCATCAGAAAACCAAAACACATAAAGAAATAAGAACTCAAAATAGACATAGGGGGATTCTACTACATTAGAGAAACAAAAATAGAAAATGAAAGATGGTAAAATTTAAACAGTTTTTGCTACTTTCTAAACTAGCCTGTTACCTAGGAAAGACCCTGAAGTTATATATGATTTATACTGTATTCTGGTAAAATATGCATGAGCTTTTAACATTTAGTCACTCCTGTCTGTCTTTCCTCTTCATTCTGCCCTGGTCCAGTGTAGGTCTAGTCTCTCATAGCTAGAAAAGCATAGGGATGACTTCTTCCAGCTTGCTGGTTCCAGCCCTCTAATTTCTACATTCTCTTGTTCCTCAGCTGCTCTTAGAACACCAGGACGCGTATCAGGCGGGGACTGTGTTTCCTGATGCCTTTTACCCTAGCATCTGCAAAAGAGGTAAGGGAGGGTTTTTAGAGTAATGATGCCTCATTTACTGGTAAACTGGATTGGCTTTGACTTTTAAATATATATATATATCATGGGCTGGAGAGACAGCTCAGTGGTTAAAAGTGTATACTTCTCTTGCAGAAGATGGGCTTTTGGTTCCTAGCATCCATGTTAGGTGGCTCATACTTAATTACCGGTAACTTGGGCTCCAGGGGGGTCTGACACCTTTTCCCGGCCTCTACAGGCACATGCACTCACATGTACATTATACACAGACAAAGGCATGTACATAATTAAAAATAAAATACAACTTTATATATAAACACACACATGTAAAATGGTTGTTCATCAATGACTTCTCTGCTTGGGTATAGAAATTCTGGAACTTTTGCTTTCTGGTGATACCTGGTCTAGATGTCTCTGCTTGCTTATTGCTCTGTGGCAATGCACCCCTGCCCACCCCCTGTGATTTTCAAAAGGTTATCTACAGTCTCAGTTTTGTGTCTGCCCCACAGCAACCTCCTTTCTGGGTTGTTCTTGGTATCAACGAGACCACTGCCCAGTGGGGGGACTTAATGAGAGCACCGTTCCTGAAGGTGTGGACAGGTGTAAGGAGTCACCAGGGGCAGTGCAGGGGAGTGGTTACTGCATTATGGTGAGAGACCTTCATGGAGAGGGCCACTTGACAGGAGTGGAATTTGTAGCTAAGCGTCATAGCCAGCCCACTTTGAGCCTACAGCAGAGGAACTAAGATTGTAATACCCAGACCTCCCATGTCTTCCTTTTCTCTCATCTCCTAATTGATTCTGTCCTTTGGCAAATCCCAACCCCATCAAACCCAACCCAAGCCAGGGCACAAAGAACCTGGCGGAAGCAGGTACTGTTGGAATCACAATGCAGGGTGGAAGTGGGTGGAAAGAGATCTGCAGGGATGGTTTTCCATTTCATTGGGTCATCAGGTCACCATGGAAACCATTTCTGGTGCCTCAGGATTATCTATTGATTTAAATCCCATTTCTTAACAATCTAGTGATGGCATTTGATGTTGGGAGCACAACACAAAGGACCTTGAGCCCACAGAGCTCCAGAGAAACCAGAAGTGTTAAGCATACAGGGTTGTCTTTCCAATGGGAAAGATGAAAAACCTGTTCTTCCACCCAGAAAGCTGAGAATCGAAAATGATTAACTGCCTGCTGATCTGTGTTATCTGTTGGGCCAGGCCATGGCAAGCTCTTATAACTGTGACCTAAGTGACCTTTATAGCCAGAGGCTCCTCCAGACTTTCACAATCAGGACCAGAGGTGGCTAATAGCCCAAATGGCCTCTATGCTATCTGTATGACCAAGACCAAGTCAGACCCTTAGGCCATTAAGCTCACATAGCTAATGTATCTTTAGAACCCATCTTCTTGGAGGAAATGACACGTACACTGAATTGAGTTTCAATGTAATTACATTTCCTTGTGCAATGGGAATTGTATAATATCAGGATACTTTTTTCCCATGTTGTACTTGGCTTAAATACATTGGCAATAAACTATCTGCTATTAGACTCCCCGAAGTCTGGTCCAGTTTGACTAAGTTTATCAGCACCAGGTTTTCATTCCTACTTCTTTGTGGGTTTCACTTCCCTGTATGACACCTGCAGACACCCCCTCACTTTAACATCAGTGAAATGCTGAGGTGCTACTGTCTCCTATGCTCAGGATTCCAGACAGATAAGCTTGGCATTTCTTGTATTTATAAATACTTCTTTCTGTTTTTCTCTGTCTTAGTTAGGGTTTTTAATTGCTGTGAAGAGACACCATAACCATGGCAACTCTTATAAAGAAAACATTTAATGGGGGTGACTTGCTTACATTTCAGAGGTTCAGTCCATCATCATCCTAATGAAGAACATGGCAGTGTGCAGGCAGATGTAGCGAGGGTCCTATGTCTTGTAGGCAATAGGAAGTTGACTGAGACACTGGGCAGTATCCTGAGCATGGGAAAACCTCATAGCCTGCCCCAACAGTGGCACACTTCCTCTAACAAGGCCATGCCCATGCCAACAAAGCCACACTTCCTAATAGTGCCACTCCCTATGAGATTATGGGGGGGGGCAACCACATTCAAAGTACCACATCCTCTCAGTCTGCCATTCCTCTATACTGTTGTTTTTGCCTGTGGGTTATAGCTCTTAACTCTAACTTACTATTTCTCACATGCCATCCCCTAAGTATCATTCAGGGACCCCCATTGTCCCTTGATATTCTGACAGTCCATTGAAACATTACACCTGAGAAAGCAAAAAAGGCTATTTTGATCATTAAATTTAAGAAGCACTGCTCAATGTGTACTTCAAGATAGACAAAGCACACAACAATGGTTCTGAGAAGTGTGGACAAGGTCATCAAGTCTTGTATAGCCCAGGTATGGCCTCAAACTCACCATGTAGCTGAAGAAGATCTTGAAGCCCTGATCTCCCTCCATCTGCCTCCACCTTCTGACTGCAAGTGTGTGCCACCATGCGTGGCTTTCCACGTTTTCATAAGTCAGTTTACACTCTCCTATGTGATGAATGGCAGAGAAAAGTAACTTCCAATGAATAATTGGGGAGGGTGCGTGTGAGCTGGCTCAGTGAGTCAAGGTGATGGCATCCAGTGAAATGCTGAGGTGCTACTGTCTCCTATGCTCAGGATTCCAGACAGATAAGCTTGGCATTTCTTGTATTTATAAATACTATAAATATAAATGCATTCAATTCCTGGATCCCACATAGTGGAAGGAGAAAACTGACTCCTGGAAGTTGTTGTCTGGTGTCTATATGAGTGCTGTGATGAAGTGTATGTATACACAAACTGGCACACTATAAACAAATGTAATAATAACAATAATAAAATAAATAAAGAAGAGTAACAGGGGATAAGATGTTGGAATATAGGTACATCTTTGTGGAAGTATCCTCTGAGTGACTCTTCCGGTCTGTCTGCTCATGAGGTGTCCTTGGAGGAAGAACAGAGGAAACGAGGTATTGGAGGGAAAGTGAAAGAGTCTAGCAAGACAGTGGGTGGTCATGGGAAATTTGAGGAGGTTCTCAACTTTTTAGATTCCACAGCTCCACTTTTTTGTTTTCTCAGGAAAATACCATGATGTATCTGAGAGGACTCACTGGACTCCGTTTCTTAATGCCAGCATTCATTACATTCGGGAGAACTACCCTCTGCCCTGGGAGAAGGTGGGCGTGCCCTCCAACCCTACATCAGTTCACTGCTGCACCGACAAGCACTGTTGGAGTCACTCCATTTGGAATCTCTGATCCCCAGACTGGGATAGCTAATTCTCACTCGACCTGCACACTAACAGGGACACAGCAGACCCCGAATCAATATTTAAAGTTATCAGAGCAAAGTCTGGAGACTGTCACTTGGTCATTTTGCTCCAATGACAATGAATCTGAAAACCTTCCAAGACACTGCACAGCATTTCAGAAAATCCTATGTACTTTCCTGTAACTAGAAGCTATATAATCCATTAGCTTCTAATTCCTTGTTAAGTCTCAGTAATGGAAATTAGTTCATGTTTGTTAAAGTCTTTCAGGGAGTTGACATAACCCAACACATAAGACTTGAATTTTCTTTTTTGCCAGGACACAGAGAAGTTGGTAGCTTTTTTGTTTGGAATCACCTCTCACATGGTCGCTGACGTCAGCTGGCACAGCCTGGGTATTGAACAAGGATTCCTCAGGACTATGGGAGCCGTGAGTACACAGTGCCATGAGGGTGCCACCATCACACCCAGATCAAAACTGGGCTCAGGCTGGGGTGCAGGGTACCTCAGAGCTAGAACACGAAAAGCCCTGGGTTTGATCCCCAGCTCTACAAACAAGACTGGATTATTTTAAGGAAAGGAAAACTTCGGGTTCTTCACACATCCTGTGGAAATAAGCCTTCTTATCCAAAGTGGCTTCTGGTCAGAGTTTTGTCTTTTTAAATTAATCCCTTTCATTGTAATCACCTCTGAAGAGTCATCTACGAAAACAAAGTGGACTGATATGCTGGAAACAGGGACAGATATGTCTCTGCAGTGTCTTTGGGGCTGTGTCTGAATAAGGAAGGGAATACCTGCCACTTGTCTCTGTTCACCATTGCTAGCTCCCAAACAGAATTGCAGCCTGTCCTGATAACTTAGCTGAATGACCCTACAATTAGTTGTTTTATTTGACTTTTATCATTTTTTAAGATTTTATTCTTTATTTTATGTGATTGTCTGTTTTGCCTGCATGTTGTGTATCTGTACACCACATATATTCAATGCCTGCAGAGGCCAGAAGAGGTTATCGGGTCCCCCTGGGACTGAAGTTACAGACAGTTGTGAGCCACCGTGTGGTTGTTGTGGATCAAACACAGGTTCTCTTGGAAGGGCAATCAGTGTTCTTCATCACTGAACCACCACGCCAGCCTGCTTTTTGCATTTTAATTGAATTTTTAGTTAGCACTAAGATAATGGGTTTCATCATAATGTTTTCATATATATGTCAGTGTACCTTGCTCATATTTGTCCCTTCTTACCCTCCTCCACCCACTTTAGTTGCTCTTAATTCCATTCTATTGGACCTGTAATCTTGGACTGCATTGGAGACATTGCCCATGCCAGGACGGCACACTTGTCTGTAGCAGTCTTTTTTTTTTTTTTTTTTTTTTTTTTTTTTTTTAAAAAACGCAATGGCCAACACAGGCAAAAAGGAGAATGTTAGTGTGAAGACCAAGCCGCCAAGATGCACTTCCACAGTCCCCTGGGTCAGGCTGTCACCTGCCCTCAGCTTGTCTGGCTTGGGGTGACATTCTGGGTCACAGTCTGTGACATTAACCATGTGCTTCTCTTTGTTCCTCAGATTGATTTTCATGACTCCTATTCTGAGGCTCATTCAGCTGGTGATTTTGGTACTGTTTATTCACTTTTTTCATATGCTACTTACTTTTCTTTATCAGTGTGATGCATGTGTATGTGTATATGTGTGAGCCTGTGTGCTCTCATGTGCATGGTGTGTGTGTGTGTATGTGTGTGTGTGTGTGTGTGTGTGTGTGCGCGCGTGTGTGCATTGAGCCGCATTGTGCATGTGAGGCCAAAGGAGGTTCCTTCCTCCTTTCTGAGGGTTCTGGGAATTGAACTCAGGTCACCAGGCATACATAGCAAGTGCCTTTACCTACTGAGCCATCATGCCAACCTTATACATTGTTATTTTTCTAATTGTAACGCTAAAGTTCATTTAGAATATAGCACAGTTCATTCAACACAGAGATGCATTTCTAAATGGGCATGTTAAAAACATGTATTTTGTTGTTGTTATTGAAAAATTTTTCACTTATACATTGAATTAAAATCCATTCGATAACTTAGTCTGAGTCACCTGTGGTTTTTCTTACACTTGGTGAACCCTATCTTTTTTTCCTGTGGTAATTCTCTTTATATATACACTAGTATTTATTTAAAAGGACCTATAGGGTCTATCTTTCCTTAAAGTAAAATAAATTCAAAGCTGGCTGTGGTGACACATACCTATAATCCCAGCACTTGGGAAGGTGAGACACGAGGACTACTGCAAATTGAAGGCCAGCATTAAGCACACAGAGAGCACCAGGCCAGCCAGGACTACACAGTGAGACCCTGTTAAAATAAACAAACAATAGAAAATAGAATTGTCTTATTATACAAATGATTCTTAATTCATATGTTTCATTAGCTAAGATTTTTCAAAGATGATTTTTTTTCTTCTTCAAGACAGACCCAAAACAGAGAAAGAGTAACTATGGGAAATGTCTGGTTTGTGGGACTGTGTTTGTGGGAATGTGGAAGAAGTGTCTTGTCATCAGCCCACAGATTGTAAATATGTTTCTCTTGCCGTAGGAGGAGATGTGTTGAGCCAGTTTGAATTTAATTTTAATTATCTCTCAAGGCGCTGGTAAGACCAATGTTCTTTTAAATATGTGATGCCAAAACGGCATTTATGATGGGCTCTTGTTGGGTTTACGTTTTTTTATTTTATTTTATAGTCTATTTTCCCATTAGTTTGCCTTTTTAGTTCTTGCTGTAATATCACACTTGTTACTAGATATTAAACCCAGGGTCTTCTAAATGCTAGGCAACCACTTTATTACTAGAGAAGTCCTTAGATGCTTCTTCTTCTTCTTCTTCTTCTTCTTCTTCTTCTTCTTCTTCTTCTTCTTCTTCTTATTCTTCTCCTCCTCCTCCTCCTCCTCCTCCTCCTCCTCCTGCTCCTCCTTCTCCTTCTCTTTATCCTCTTCCTCCTCCTCCTGCTACTCCTCCTCCTCCTGCTCCTCTTTCTTTCTTAAGACAGGGTCTAACTGAGCCTCTCAGGTTAGCCTTGAACTCACTCATAGGCTAGGCAGGTTTTGACCTTGGGACCTCCTTTCTCAGCCTCTCAAGAAGCCTGGGTTATTGGCCTGTGTGACTAGTTCTGGGTTTTGTTAGTGTTTTTGAATAGTGTTTTGAATATATAGTTTCTAATTTCTCATCATTTTGTTAAATTATTTCTTCAATTATCTTTGTGCAGTTTGTAGTATGTATTTTCACATAGGCTGATGACAAACAGAATTTATTAATCCACAGTATTATATATCTATTCTGCTTAGTTATGTGTGCCTCCGATGTCTTTTTGTTTTTGTTTTTGGTTTTTCAAGACAGGGTTTCTCTGTGTAGCTTTGGAGCCTATTCTGGCGCTCACTCTGGAGACCAGGATGGCCTCAAACTCACAGAGATCTGCCTGACTCTGCCTCCCGAGGGCTAGGATTAAAGGCGTGAGCCACCACCACCTGGCTAACATTTATGGTTTTAAAAATATGTATTTTTATTTATGTGTGTGTACCTGCTTGCCTATATGTGTAACACATACATGCAGGTGATGTTGGAGACCACAAGAGAACTGGATCCCCTGGAACTGGAGTTACAGGCAGTTGTGAGTTGTCTGATGTGGGTGCTGGAACCAAACCCGGGTCTCCTGGAAGAGCAGAAAGATTTTCTACATTTAATTTATCTGGGAATTTTTATATAAGATGAAGTATAAATAGAACATTATTTTTTCCACAGAGGTAGCTGAGTGTTCTAGAACCACGTTTCAGTAGTCTACTCTTTCCTCACTGGTCTGCGGCAGCTCCTGTGTGTTTTCCTCTCTCTTCTCTTGGTCTGAGTGACCGTCTCTCAGAACACTGGTTCTTTCCATCCCATGACTTCGCTGTGTGTCTGCTTTGCTTTTATAAGGGCAGAGCTTCCTATTTGTCTTCTGTCTTAGTGATCATTGAATTACTGTGAAGAGACACCATGATCAAGGTAACTTATAAAAGAAAGTATTTAATGGGGGGCTTGCTTACAGTCTCAGAGTCCATGAGCTAGCATCTTATCTACAAGCAGTAGGCAAGAAGACAAAAAGAGAGAGAGACAGAGAGGCAGACACTGGGCCTGGTGTGGGCTTTTGCCCAACAACTAGGAACCAAACATTTAAGTATATGAGCTTGTGGGGGGGCATTCTCATTCAAACATCTTTCTTCTTCAGAGGTACCTTTGTCTTTGCTCCTTCAGATGAAATTTAGGATCAGGTTGATGTGTTTCAGGAGAAACTTGTGATTTTAATGAAAGGTTATTGATTCTTATAGTACAGCTTTGTCCTCATCAGAGAAGCAGCTTGGGCAGTAGATGAAGGTTAATACAGAAACTCATAGCTGGTCAAAGTAGAGAGAGTAAGTGCCTGTGAAGTGACTAGTCATACATGGGACATCTATATCACCCGACTCCAGGTCTCAGGGACCTTCTCAGAAGAGGGAGTAGAAAAACTGTAAGAGTCAGAGGTGGGGGAGAACTGCTGAGGACGAATGCACTCACAGACTCCCAGCATCTGTGGGAGGACTGCTGAGGACGAATGGACTCACAGACTCCCAGCATCTGTGGGAGGACTGCTGAGGACGAATGGACTCACAGACTCCCAGCATCTGTGGGAGGACTGCTGAGGACGAATGGACTCACAGACTCCCAGCATCTGTGACTGGCTGTACAAGCTCAAGCCAGTCAGCATTCCAGCATGGAGGAGGAAGGTACTCACTCATGAGCTCCCACTCATCACTGAGGAGTCACTAACAATTGATGGCTTCTTGGGGAGTTTTCTTTGGGGGTGTGGTTCCTAGCAGGTTGAACATGCTGCAATGGATGGCTACATATCCATGTTTATCTCCTTGCTTCCCACCCTGTACCTTCTGAGGTTCGGAAGATGCCAACGGAGTAAAGCTGGCTTTCCTTGCTTGCCATCCAAAGGTTCTACTTTCTATTTGGGTTGGACTTTGGAATTATTTTATTTTATTTTATTTTTACTTTCTTGCTAGCTTAGTGACTCATTAGAACAAATATTTTTTGTTATTTTCTTTTGCCTGTTAAACCATTTTTATTGAGGTCATAGGTGTTCTAAAAAGCTAAAAATAGACTTCTTAATCCCTTTTTTTCTTGTAAATACACATAAATCATTTTTAAAAATCCTTTCTTTTTCTTTTTTGTTTGTTTCATCTTATAAAAATTGGAGGCTGGAGAGATGGCTCAGAGGTTAAGAGCACTGGCTGTTCTTCCAGAGGTCCTGAGTTCAATTCCCAGCAACCACATGGTGGCTCACAGCTCTCTATAATGAGATCTGATGCCCTCTCCTGGTGTACAGGCAGAGCACTGTTTACATAGTAAATAAATTGTGGTGATATTTTGCCAGTCGTTGGTCAGTCCCAGCACTCAGGAGGCAGAGGCAGACGGATCTCAGTGAGTTCGAGACCAGCCTAGTCTACAAAAGCTAGTTCCAGGACAGCCTCCAAAGCCACAGAGAAACCCTGTCTCGAAAAAACAAAAACAAAAACAAAATTGGATTTTATTGGTTGTTATAGTCTTGTTTATTCTGAGGATTTTGAAATTGAAATAAAATGACACTATAAATCTGATTTTCAGATATTGCTGTCCTTCCAACTAAAATAATTAATGTCTGTGAGCCAAAAGCTGGGCCTAGGGTTCTGTTGTTTTCTCCTGTGCATCTAAAATTAGCACATTGGAGAGAGGAGCCATATCTGGTGCTAATGCCTTTAAGTCCAACACTCAGGAGGCTGATGCAGGAGGACCACTGCAAGTCTGAGGACAGCCTAGGATACATAGTGAGTTCTAGTCAAGGCTTGGTTACACAGTAAGACACTATTCAAAACCCCAAACACACACACACACACACACACACACACACACACACACACACACACAGAGAGAGAGTTCACAGAATCGAACACTCTTTTTCCACTTGGTAATATCTGGTATTTAAATGTCTTTTCATAAATATTTGACCGAAGCACCAGATTTTTGTTCTGAATCACTGAGAAAACTACTCACTGTCCCAGTGACTTAGTTTCCTTTTGTGTAAAATGGGGTTTTACATAAAATATATGTAAAATGCCAGGTGTCATTGGCAGAGTTAAATAACCAATGCTGGTAAAGAGTGTTGAATATCTGAGCTATACAGTCAATCATGGGACAACGGGGGCTTGTGGAGTTCCTGCAGTTGTTACTGTTACCTTCAATTTCAGAACCCAAGTATCTCTTCCTTTCATTTGAATGCACTTCTCAGGTACGTGCCCATCAAAGATCTTCTGAGAATTTATGATAATCTCTATGGTCGAAAAGTCATCACTGAAAATGTCATTGTTGACTGCACATACCTTCAGTTCTTGGAAATGTAAGTGTAAGCCAGAGGGAAGCTTGCAGCTGAATTATGGGGGTTTCCTGAGCACCTCTTTTCCAGGGGTGCGCTGTGAAGGCAGTTACATGACAGAAGATGCACATGGCATCATTATTTGCTCCACTTTTCTATAGAAAGTGCAACTCATGGAGATGCTTATTTATGTTGCAGGCATGGGGAGATGTTGGCTGTTTCCAAGGTAAAGACCTGCTTTTTCTGAATCTTGGCTAAAGGACTGTGCAGACAGTGCAGTGCCTTACTCCTCCTGCCTCCCCCTGCAGCTCTATTCCACATACTCTATGAAGTCCCCATTTCTGGTGGAACAGTTCCAAGAGTATTTCCTTGGAGGACTGGATGACATGGCATTCTGGTCCACGAACATCTACCGTCTGACCAGCTTTATGCTGGAGAACGGGACCAGGTGAGTTTTGCCTTGCTACATCCCTACGTAATGCTCACGTTTTCAGCTGATGAGGCCAAACTCAAAGGAAAACAACTCAGAAGTGTTGTCTGAACTGGTTCACAGAGAAAACAATGGATACTCTAAAACCTAACTGGGGGGCATCAGGTGAATGCCTCTCACATTGCAGGGACAGAGAGGCAGACATGTCAGAACTTGGTGTCAATGAGTAGTGATCCCATACACCCTTACCCCATCCCTCCAAACGAAATCACCAGTGGGTGGTTTGTCAAGCACAGGTTCTGGAGGAAATTTGATAGGTGGGACTGCTGCTCAGCCCCTTCTGGGATCTTATCACCTTCTCTTTGTCATATTTGGGACCAGAGCTACTTGGAGACCAAACATAATAGGAGCAAACAGGAAATAGGTCTTTAAGAAGAACTAAATGTCTCTAGGTCCCTGAGCCTCTGTTGATCAGAGAAACCACACATCATCAGTCCTGGGCACACAGATGCCCCAGATGAGCTGCTGGGATGCTGGGGGTAAGAAGGTAGGCAAATGGCACAGCTGCCCCTGCAGAGAAGGGGAAGCACTAGGAGCTTAGCGGGGCCAGCACAGCCAGCAGTGGGGATGCAGGTTCTTTGAACAAAAGCTGTTGTCCAGAGCTGGTTCCAGGTCAGGAACTCGGAGCGTGGGTGTTGATAAGTTGGAGTGCCCACAGGCTTGCAGCTCCAGAAGATTATGTGATGTGTTCTTAAAAACCTTTGCTGTATTCATTCATTGTTAATCATAATTACACAGTGTTGATTTGAAACGAAATTCTCCTTGGTGCTAAGATTGACTTCAGCCTATGGCTTAGTAGGGATTAGCAATCCAGTATAAATCCTATTTAATTTGACTTTTTGTGTGTATGTGCTGTGCATTCATGTGTGTATGCATGGTTACATGTGTGTGCACATGCATGCATGTGAAGGTCTGAGGTTGATGTGGGTGTCTTCCTCGGTTATTATACCTTGTGACTTAGTCCCTTGCTGAATTTTAAGCTCCCTTATTGCAGATAGTCTGACTAGCTAGCTCACTTGGAGATCTCCCATCTCCATCTTCTGAACACCACACCCACCTTTCATTTATGTGAGTTCTGGGGAACCGAACTCTAGTTCTCACACTTACACAGCAGGTGTTTTAATTTCTGACTGATTTTCCCAGCTCTAAAACTTTATTTTAATAATTAGCAAAATCTCAAGTCAGATCCCTAAGCCTTTGCAGTGTAGTTTGTGTGCGAGTGTGTGTGTGTGTGTGTGTGTGTGTGTGTGTGTGTGTGTGTGTGTGTGTGTGTATACACGCAGAGGGCCATCCCTCAAATACTCTCTACCTTGTTTTTTTTTTTTTTTTTCTGAAATAGGGTTTCCCTGTGGCTTTGGAGGCTGTCCTGGAACTAGCTCTTGTAGACTAGGCTGGTCTCGAACTCACAGAGATCCGCCTGCCTCTGCCTCCCGAGTGCTAGGATTAAAGGCATGCGCTACCACCGCAGGGCTCTACCTTGTTTTTTGAGACAGGGCCGATCATTGATCCGGAGCTTGGTGATTACACTAGGCAGCTAGATAGGCTGGCCACCGAGCTTCAGAGGTCTGCCTGACTCTGTAAGCCACCATACCAGGCCATGGGTGCTGGGAATCAAAGACAGGTTCTCATGTTTGCAAGGACTGATTGACTGACTGACTCATCTTCCCAGTTTGTCTGGGAGTTTTTGGGTGCATGCCAGCCTAGATGTAGAAAGGGTGGGGTTTGGAATTGGAGACATTTCCTTCTCATCACTGAGTTTTGTTCCACCAGTTGCTAAACCTCCCTAAGCCTTCATTTCCTTTTGAATGGGGACACTCACCATTCCATCTTTATGAGGCTCTGAGGAGTCAATGAGAACCCTTGTGCACAGGGTTTAACATGCAGAAAGCACTTACTAAGCGCTGGCTCCATTATCATGATTGCTATTGGGTGCAAGTTGAGTTTATATTGGTAGAACTCAGAATGCCTAGTCAGAGTCGAGTGAGTAACCTCCATTTCTTCCCCGCCCCTTCTCTGCCATATGCAACCATCCTCAAGCTCATTTCTGGGTGATTTTGGACTAGCTGTACATAGCTAAGGAGAGAGGTAGGAAGAAACAACAGAGGAGCACGGTTTGTATCTCTATTCTAAATTACCAACACACCAAACTTCCCAAAGTGATTGCACATAGACACACACACACCAGAGAGAGAGAGAGAGAGAGAGAGAGTTCTTACCTTTTAAAGTACACCCATTTTATTTGAAACCATAGTAGACTTCCTGAAGAAACAGTGAAATGGTACTTATGCCCCAGCCAGACCTCTGTCCACCTCAGAAATGTGCTGTGAGTTTAGTGCTGGCCTTTCCAGTTTGCCTTCTGACTCCCAGCAGGATTCAAAGAGAAAGCCCTTTCCTCAGTGCAGAGTTGGATAGAGAAAGTGAGTGTGCACATGCAGTGAGTTTTACTCAGCAGGAAGAACGCAATTGCATCATCTGTAGGGAAATGAAGCTGAAGATCATCATGTTAACCAAAATAAGCCAGACTCAAAATATGAAGTTTTCTCTCCCTGAGGTAACATACACACCATAAACTATTAGGAGGAAAAGCAGAGTTTGTGACGGGGAGAAGGGAGGTGGGAGAAAGAGAAACGGGATGCTGATTATGGTCTCAGTACACGATATATTTGAGTTAAAGTATCATTATGAAACCAGTCACTTCATACAATGAAATCCTCCAAAAAGGAAGGGGGCTGGGATGTAGCTCAGTTGGCAGAATGGATAACGCTGTGGCCTAAGAGGGACTCTGACCAGGCGGTGGGGAAAGATTGCTCTCAGCTCGTCCTTGCACCATTTCCCCAGTTCCCTGTCCAGCACCTGGTTTTCCCTTGCTGTAAAGCTTTCGTGCTTCTCCCAGTCCCCCCACCCCCCAGTGGCCTCTATAAATCCCTTCAAAGGCCTGTTCCTCCCATAACGTCCACACCTACTCCTATAAAGTTTCTCATTGAATGAGGTCATCCCTTGCATTTTCCAACGTTGTCTCACTTGTAAAAGAGAAACTTGCTCTCCTGTTTAGTTGCTGAATCTGTAGAGTTTTGTAAGGGAATGAAACTGAATGCTGTAGATCTATTTGGTGTAATTGGCATAACTGGCCAGAGGTGCTATGGTTGGGACCCAGTTTGTATCATGTTCTCAGACTCTGGGCATTTCATGCTTGTATGTAAGCATGGCAGAGGAGCCAGGAGGGCAGAGGAAGGCTTGCTCAGAAAGACTTTGGCTGTCTGTCCGAATGGCCAGACAGTGAACTCTTTGAGCCTTTGAGAGGGGTTTAAAGGTGTCTCTGTGGATAGTGGATAGTGCATTGGACTTCTAGAGACAAGAGTGGTTGAAAGTACATCACTGATTCCCTGTCAAAATTAACTCCTTCCACTGTTTCCCAGTGACTGCCACCTGCCTGAGAACCCTCTGTTCATCACATGCGACGGCCGGAGGAACCACATCCTCGGGTAAGTGGGTCCAGAATCATTTGTATTGAAGAATGCCTCCCCAAGAGGGGCTGCCCTGGGAGAGAGTGGAGCAAGGGGTCTTCAGACAGACAGACAAGGTTCCTGTTCTAGCTGAGCCATTTACAACTGGGTGACTTTTAACACACTGGTAAATGTTTTTGAGCTACAGCTCTTCCTTCTGAAATGAAAAGACACATCTAGGGTCTTAGAATAGTGGCCCTGGATACAGATGATAGAGGGCATAAGGCGTAGGCATGCATGCTGTTCACTAAATGGTCATTGCTATTCTTATTGATTGTGACCATTATTGTGACTCACGGACCTTCCCCAGACTCCATCTGAAAAAGCATTTCATTCACAAGGGGGAAGTTTCTGAGGAATAAGCTAGAAGTCCTGGTTGGTACTGTTAGAGCTAGTGTCTCCTGCTGGAGCCAGGAGCCAGCCTCCAATTCATGATGTCATCAACAGGAAGGAATACCATCCATTATGAATAAAATAAAACAATAACATAAATAATAAAAGTACTTGGAGATAGTCATTGCACCAGGAACTCAGAGCATGTGGCTTGGCAGCCGACTGGTTACTGAACATGCCATTGTAAATATTATCGCTGAGCCTTAGAGAGGGAAGGGCTGGCTGCTCTGGGAATGTAGGATGGTGGCCCAACCAGGGCCCAGCAGAGTTCCCTTGAAGAACCAATGAGGTATTTAAGAGCAAAACCTTAAATATTCTAGATACTAAAGTGGGCACTTTACCGTGAGAGATCCTAAGGGGATTTTAATGCATCGAGAGAATTAAAAGATGAAGGAAGGGTTCCACCCAGCCTTTGTTGCCTTTGTTATTTCCTTCTTTTAAAGCAAGTAAGTCTGGTTGATGCTTTTTTTTTTTTTATGAGCATCTTTAGATTAAGCATGCTGTCTGTGTCTTCCCCGAGGCCTATTGTTCCCTTATTCTTAAGCATTCTGAAGCCTGGGTGGTTCTTCTAAGCATGTGTGGCTTGGCTGGCTAAGATATGTGATTTTTTTTTTTTTTTTAAAGACAGCGTCTCTTATAGTTCAGGCTGCCCTTTAGCTCACTGTGTAGCTCAGGCTGACCTTGAACTCCTGGCCCCCAAGTACTAGGGTTACAGGTATGTGACACTGTATCCAGTTTGAGATCTCTGAACTAGAAAATGTATTTTAATTAGATAACTGATTCTAGCATGTCTTTCCAGATGAGTCAGTCTGCCTGCATGCTGCCATACTCAATATATATTTCTTTGGTGAAATATTGCAATACATTTATAGTTTGGTATTCCAGAAGTACTTTTACTCCTACTGTGAGCCCTGAGACCACAGCAAATAGTACATTTCCTTTTTTTTCTTTCTGGTGCTGGGGTTTGAACCCAGGGCCCATCTGTGCAGTGGCAAGCACACATTCTGCTATACCCATAGCCTCAGCAACATCAAGCTTTGTAAGGGGCTGACTTCTAAGCCTTAGAAATATACTCAACAAAAGATTTCATGGAGCAAGGGTTTTTCTAAAGCTATGTTTGCTATCTCTTCAACTTCTAGATGTTAAAATCCCAATATCTCAGGCAGTGTTAATGTGTATGAATCTTCATCAGGCAGTATAACGTGTGTACCTTCAGTTTCAGTAAGTTGAGGGGCTTGTAGTCTTCTTGGGTTTGATCATCTTTTTCTTCTCTCTTTTCAACAGCTCAAAAGTGCAGAAAAATGATTTTCACGGCAATCTGACCATGTTCATCAGGAAAGATATCAGGAAAAACCTGAACTACACAGAAAGAGGCGTGTTCTACAGCACAGGCTCCTGGGCCCCCGTAAGAACTTCCTGTTACCAATGAAGGAGGTTGGAAAACTTCTGGGGACAGGTTGCTTGTAGTGTCTCTGTGTGTTGCTGTTCATACAGTTAATCTGGGTTTGTGCCAGTCTGGCGAATGTCCTTGGTCTCTAAATGTGATATATTCCAGAGATGCCCTAAGGCATAATTGTGGGCCAGTCGAAGGGGCTTTAGGCATCTAGACCAGTCCTGCTTTGACTCTAGGCAAGTGTGCTTGCTACGTTGAAGGCCACCTACACAGCCCTATGCTGACAGACACCACTGCATGTGAAATATATCCATAGGGTCATTTTTCCCTCCAGACAAAACTCTTACGTCATAGTTAAGGCTGGCCTCAACTCTTGGCAATAATGATCCTCCTGTCTCAGACTTCGGAGTACTAATATTACAAGCATGTGCCACCATGTCCCCATCCAATGGGGTAATCTTTAAAGTCACATTACTATGGGGATGAAAGTGAAAGGGGAAGATCCTGACTCTGTCTTTGGGGAAATTTGGCCTAATAGGAGCAGCAGAAGTAACAGCAGCTGTTAAGTGAGTAGAACGTGATGAAAGCTGTGGTGTGTTGGTGGAGAGGACAGCAAAGAGGTCATTTTAACCCCAGAAACCATTGGGGAAAGGCAACAGGAAGGGGTGGCCCTGAGGGAAATTTTAACAGTGAATAGCACTCACCAGCGAAAGAATGCATTCCCGATTCAGGATGTTTGGAGAGTCAAGTACTTTTATTTGCTTGGAACCCAGGACCTAGAGATGCGACGACTGCAAGACTTGGAAATAAGTAGTTGCTGGGTTGTGATTGTTCTCAAGACCAGAAGGGTTTAGGCAGCAAGTGAATGTCACACACCATGAGCGGGGCAAGGGCTGTGGCAAGGCCAGCTTCCTGGAGGTCACCCTGCACAGTCACATGGGAAAGAGCCCATAGTCTCCTACTATGCTGTCATGACTTTAAAACTCTTACTAGTTGGTGAGCAAAAGTCTCTGTGTGTTGATTTTGCACTGGACTCCACAAGTTCTGTAATTGGTTCTGAGCCTGGACATTTTTGCGGAAGTCCAAAGTGCAGATATTTTTACATAGATGTTCTTGGATTTTTCTCCTCAGGAGGAAAATGTCTAATGGGGAGGGGGCTGCACTTGTTATCTTTCTTGTTGCTGGGGTAAATACCTGAAAAAAGCAGCTCGAGGAAAGAAAGGTTTGCTTTGATTCACTGTTTAAGAGGTCCATCATAGTGAGAAATCATGGTAGCCCGTGGCGAAGGCAGTGGAAGTGTGAGGCTGCTTGCTCACATCTTCACAGTCTGAGAGGAAAGTAGAGGGCAGGGCTGACGGCACTCAGTTCACTTCCTCCTTTTTATTTAGTCTGGGTCCTCATTGGACAGGACAGTGCTGCCCACATTCAGAGTAGGTCTTCCCTCCCCAGCTAATCCTCCCTGGAAATGCCCTCACCAACACACTCAAAGGTATATCTCTTGGGTGCTTCTAAAGCAATGAAGATGAACATCTCAGAGACTTGGTATTTATTCCCAGTGTCTGTCCTGAGATTTGATACCTTCCAATAGATGATGTATTGTTTTGTTTTGTTTTGTTTTGTTTTGCATGACTGTGCAAGCCAGAGCTGGGCATCAGTTTGTGTACAGCCTGGCAGGATGGTATCAGGGAAGACGGAAGACATGTTGCTTACCTGCAGGACCTTACATCAATGTTTCTCCTGAGCCTGGGCTGGCTGGCCTGTTTCCATGTTCTCATCTGGGTCTGCTTTGCTGTCCTCTGCTGGTGCCTAGGACGTCTTCTTTGGTCTTATGTCACCCTTTGGCAAATTTAGAATTGTGTTGCCTTAACCTGGATGGATCATGTGTTTATCGGCTTGCTAAGGACTGCCCCAGTTTGTTCTATGGCTTTGCAGTCATAACTTTAAGACAATTGGGTAGCACTACATGGTGATTATATTGGTGATCCCCACACTGGTAATCCCACTACATAGGATACTGAGGCAGGTGGATTGTTGTGAGCTGAAGCCAGCCTAGGCTATAGAATGTGATGCTGTCCCCAGACAAAAGCGCAAAACTAAATAAATGAAAAAAAGGACAATTTAGAATTCCAAGCTTGGTGGCCAGTTGTCCCCAGGTTCCCTGGCACAGACTTCAAGCTCTGTGAAAGACCTCTCCTGTTTCCTAGGCAGCTTGAGAGTCAAAACAGATAGTCAGTATCTCAGTCAGAGCATTGGTTCTCAACCTTCCTAATGCCGAAACCCTTTAATACAGTTCCTTATGTGTGGTGACCTGCCCCCCAACCACTTTTGGTTGCTAATTCATAGCTGTAATTTTACTACTATTATGGATCTTAATACAAATTTTTAGAAATAGAGGTTTGAAAATGGGGTCTCAACCCACAGGTTGAGAACCTCTGGCTTAGAGGATAGCAATTTTTAGAATCCTGGTGTTGTTCCAGTTCATTTGTTTGAGAAAGATGAACCATCTATTTACAAACATAATCCTGGCTTTATAGTGACCAGGCTTGCCTTTCCTAAAATTTGGTCTGCAAAAATTCTTTTTTTTTTTTTTTTTTTTTTTTTCCCCTCCCTCCCAGTCACTCCTTGAGTCCAAATACTTTGGAAGCTGAGCCAGGCAGCTCTCCATGAGTTCAAGGCCAGCATGGTCTGAGTCCTAGGCCAGCAAAACCTTATAGTAAGATCACGTCAAAAACAAAACAAAACAAAAAAACCAACACACACACACACACACACACACACACACACACACCAAACAAACGAGAAGACAAAAAAAAAAAAAAAAAAAAAAAAAAAAAAAAAAAAAACTTTGGTGGTTTGAATCTTCAAATCAATGCAGCCTGCTGGCTTTGAGAAAATCCTAGCTGACTCTTCCCCAGTAGCTCATCATCTCAGGCAATACTCTGCCATCTCCGTGGGACTCTGCTGCCTCTATTGCCTGGCCTAAGCTAGCACACTGAAATGAATGGATGTTTTATTTGTCAGCCCTTGTTAGAACTCATTTTATTTGCCAGACTCCCACGGCTCCTGTTGACGATGCCATGTGTCTTTACACATTTAAAATAACCTTTTGTTTCAGGAATCTGTAACCTTTATGTACCAGAATTTGGAGAGGAACCTGAGGATGATGTTTTCTGGCAGCTCACAGACTCCTCTAAAGCATGTCTCCAGCCCCTCTGCCTCCTACTTCCTGTCTGTCCCCTATGCCAGGCTTGGCTGGTAAGGATGAATTCAGTAGATGGGGGTTGTTGTATTCCATCCAGTCCTTCATCAGCTTTGGGGTGGCATCATTTGTGTTAGCTAGGGAAACCTTACTTTCCCTATATTTTAGAAGAAATTAGGAAACAGAAAAATGGATTCATTTAAAATTTGAGTGAACTGGGGACAGAAAGAAGTCTAATTTCTCCCTGCTGAGTTGTGACCATCTCACAATTACAGAAGGTTGGGGACAAACATGAGTCAATATAACTCTAAGACAAGCTCCCCACTCCTCTCCTGAGGAAAGTAGATCTGGGCCCTAAGTTGCTCCATTTCTTTAGAGAGTTATTGTGCAAGTCCAGAGTGAGAGAAATGTCTGTCTTAGCTTGCTTTCTACTGCTGTGATAAAACACCATGGCCAAAAGCAACCTGGGGAGGAAAGGGTTTGCCTGGCTTACATGTCCAAATCACAGTCTGTCATCAGGGAAATCAAGGCAAGGACTCAAACTGGGCAGGGACCTGGAGCTACTTACTGGTATTTTTTTTTTTTTTTTTTTTTTTTTTTTTTTTTTTTTTTTGGTTTTTCGAGACAGGGTTTCTCTGTGTAGCTTTGGCACTGGCACTCTGTGTAGCTGTCCTGGCACTCGCTCTGGAGACCAGGCTGGCCTCGAACTCACAGAGATCCACCTGCCTTTGCCTCCTGAGTGCTGGGATTAAAGAAAGGCATGCTCCAACAATGCCTGTTTTGTTTTTCTTTTCTTTTCTTTCTTTTTCTTTTTTTTTGGTGCTCAGCCTGCTTTCTATACAACCTGGCACCACCTGTCGAGGGGTGGCCTTGCCCAAAGTAGTCTGGACCCTCCCACATCCATCATTAATCAAGAAAATGCCTCATAGACTTGTCTGTAGGTCAATCTGATGGAAGCATTTTCTCAATTGAAGCTCCCTCTTTCCAGATGTCAACTTCACAAAAGAAATTAAGCAGCACAGGGGCTTTAAATTCTGTGTTTAAGATTTAAAATGTTTTATATATTTGAGTGTTTTGCCTAAATGTATGTTATATGCACCATGTATGTGCTTGCTGCCCCTGAAGGTCAGAAAAAGTCATCGTATTCCCTGGAACTACAGTCACAGATGGTTATGAGCCACCAAGTGGGTGCCTGGTGCAGTACTCTTAACCATTGAGCCATCTCTCCAGTTCCAGAAAATGGGTTCATAAACACCTCCAGTTTTGAAAGAGAAAAGAATTATTTGTTTGTTGCAGTGAAGTGTAAGGTCCCTGACTCATTCCCAGGCCAGCAGAGTTCTTTTTCCCGAGTCCCATTCTTCACACAGGTATAGAGTTAGAAGCCTTTTGTGTCATGTCTTTGGAAGCCAGACTCATTTCTTGAAGGCCTGTTGGATACACTGTTACTATAAGTGAAAAGGGGTGAGCTGGATAGCCAAAGATAGAAGCTTAGTGTTTTGCAGGGCTCCAGCAGAGGACCCTGGTTACACTAGAAGCCATTTTCCCCTTTTAATCCAGGCACTCAGAAAGGCAGAAGCAGATGCATCTCTGAGTTTGAGGCCAACCTGGTCTACATAGTGAGTTCCAGGACATCCAGAGCTACATGGAGAAACCCTATCTCAAAACAAACAAATGAAAAAAAATCAACCTCAAACAAACAATGCAGAAACCCATTTCCTAATTAATTAATCATCAAAAAAGCACTAATCTAATGTCTAAACTATATAAGTTCCAATAGCTCTTTATAGTTGGTCAAATATATTTAAGCACCAGGACCTTTCGTTTTGCTAAGTAATTACAACAATGAAGTGTTTTTGTAGAGTATCATCAAGACCCCACCCCAGTGTTCTTGGGGATTTATTATCATGAGCTTCCCCTTACCCCCGCCCCCCGTAGTGTAATGATATTCCAAGAATGCAGGCAGAGAGCTATGATGATGATTTGAATACGGTTGCTTCTTCTGGTGAAAGTCTGGTACCCACTGATCAGTTTATTGAGAGATCTGGGTTTTCATTTGACTTTGAATCTAGCCATGGGCATGAAAGTGACTTCTGGATGATTGGGCAACACTGCTGTCTTCTCAGTGTGGTTTCTGGTGGCCCTTTATTTAGGGGACAGTGATACATGCAGCAAACACAGGGAACTGGGAGGTGAATTCTGCCTCTCTGCTGTCATTCATGTGTGAGCAAAGGCTCTTCTTAGACACTTTCCTCAAAGAGCCAAAGGTGGGTGCTGCTGGGCTGGCAGCCACAAGAAGCAGGACCTGGTCTTAGCCTCAGGGGCTCTGTTCTGGCCTTTGCCCGTCTACCATGCATCTTAGAAACTATGTCATGTTACTTGTTCTTTCCATGGCTATATGAGCTAGAATTAGCATAACTCTTATTCTTTTCAGCCACAGGGTGACAAGTGAAACATTAACTGTGATCTCTGTAACCAGTCAGTCACAAATCCCACTTAGAAGTATTTACTTGATACAGAAATGCAGTTCTCATCACAAAGATAGAGTATATTCTAGAGCCAGTTATGAGTGACCATGGTCTAAGAACACAGATTCTGGTGTGGTAACAGTTTCATGGAGTTTTTATAGAGACATAAAAGAAAAAGTCCTAAATCAAGACATTTTAAAAAATATATATTGGTAGGTGATGGCATACTCCTTTAATCCCAGCACTTTGGAGGCAGAGGCAGGAGGATCTCTGAGTTTGGGGCCAGCCTTGTCTACATAGTGAGTTCCAGGTCAGCTGAGGCTACAAACCAACAACAAACTATATTGGTGGGAACATCAAGCAGGTTGGATAGAGTAAAATGGTTGCTACAGGTCTCAGATGCTATCCATAACATTCTTAGCCTTGGGGTTGGTTGAAGCTAGGTGTCTGTTAATATATCCCTGAAGGATTTCTCCAATCATCTCAAGGGTGTGAGGTCAGATACAGGTGGACAATTAATGGCCACTGAGATGCCAAAGACAATCCAAGATAATCTGGCTCTGAATTTGCAACATCCCAGCTCTCCACAATCGGGGACTTCCAATAAACCTTGCAGAATATTTAACACAAGTGTGGCCTTTTCCCCTTTAAGGAAATCATTTCATACATGACATATGTTGGCTACCCGATTTAATGCCATAAAAGTTGGGCTGTGTTGGTAGGGTGGAAATAAACAGTATTTGATTAAGTAACAGTGGACCAAATAGGCCAACCCAGGATCCCAGTGGCTGCTTGGAGTACACACACCTTTATGAGGCTGTTCTTCCCCTACTCTGGTTCTGTGGTCCAGGAAGGCCCAGATACCTCTAGCTGTCCGTTTTGGTTTTGTTTCCCCCTATAGAGAGTGACTTTGAATTCCACAAATGATACAGCCCCCAAATGAATGTTCCCAGCAGTCACTCAGAACTCAGAGTCAGCTGGGAAATCTGAATTGCTGGGTTCTGGAGAGGAGAGCAGGCAGTTACCCTAGCCCTCAGTTCTCTTCTTCTCTAAGGGTCATGGCTTCAGCTGACCTCAACCAGGATGGGCACAGTGACCTCGTGGTGGGTGCACCAGGCTACAGCCACCCTGGCCTCTTCCAGATTGGACGGGTGTATATCATCTACAGCAACGATCTGGGCCTGCCCCCCATCAACCTAGACCTAGACAAGGAGGCCCACGGGATCCTGCAGGGCTTCCAGGTGAGACCTCCTGTCATGTCTTTCCTCTCTTAGGGGTGAGTAAGGCATTACTAACATTTTGGTATGTTTTCATTGTCTTTCTGGTACTGGGGGTTAAATCCAGGACTTCACACATGTCAGGGAATTGCTCTATCACTGAACCCCACTCCAGCGCCTCACTCAGGCTACTAGGCAAGCACTCTGGCTGAGCCCTCTTTCTAGCTTCTCACAGAGAGTACTAAACAAACACTCTACTGCTGAGCCATATCCCCTGAGCTGGAGGATTCTGGGTCAGCATTCTACCCACTAAGCCATGCCCCCAGTCCCTCATTGGAGGGGTTCTAGGTAGCACCCTACTGCTGAGCCACTGCCTCCAGTCTTAACACAGCACATTTTGAGACGCCTTCTCCAGATGAGTCACTAGTAAGGGGAATGATTATAGTGAACAGTTACCTTCACTTCATTGATCTCAATCTGTTGCTAGCTTCGAGTAGGAAATACAATGCCTTCCCCAAATACACATGCTGTTCACACCAGCTTCAGGTGGACATGTGGAATTTGATTTCTTTTCTAAGAGATGGGGTCTCACACTGTAGCCCAGGCTTCCCTGGAATTCACCATGTAGCCCAGGCAGGCCTTGGACTCCTCAGTGCCTATTCTTCCAAGTACTGAGGTTGGTAGCATGAAGGCTGCAGTTTCTTGGTGATTTGCAGTGCAGTGGTTGAGGACAGAATTCCCATATGCTTTTCATCATTTCCACCGTCTTCTATAATTACAGGGTGTTTATCACAGTAAAAACCTGCCATCGGCCCATCTTTGAACTCCAGGCTTTGCTTAGATGTCATTGCTTTACTTTGAGCAGTTTTTCATCCGTAGGGGAAACTCTCAGTCACTGTATGTGTTTATCACTGAATCGGAGTGTTCATTCCTCTTGGGTCTTGGAGGGCTTTGCAGACACAGAAGGCATTAACCATTTTAGTAGCAAGGAAGAACTCCAGAGTCTGTCTGCTGGTCACAGAAGAGGCTTTGGTGGCATTGGACTGACCGTGAATCTGAGTGTCAAGTGCCTAGGATTAGGAATCTAGATTTGGGGGGGGGGGTCAGTGGTGGCTGTCTGATTGGGCAAGTCACTTCTCCATTGCTAGATATTAATGCTGTGGGGGAAAAGATGTCATCATGCCTGTCTGTAAAGACAAGAAAATCAAAAGCACCAGGGGCTTGTGATCTAGTTTATGCTCTGATGAAAGCAGTTGTGACCATGCCATATAGAAGTCAGTTGCCTACCCGGTGTATGAGGTCACACTGTAAAGGCTATTCCATTTTCTGGAGCCCTCTGACATCCCATGAAGTATTTCCAAAATAAATCAAGCCATCCCTGTCTCTTTTACTACTGCACAGTCACTGCTATTAGACTGGTGGGTAAAGTCCAAAATTCTGGGCAGTGGCTTCCTGCATGACACATTCTCTAGGTCCACATGGGATGGGAGGTGGTGGCTCCACAATGCCCTTCTCCCCTGTGACCTTTGGCAGTTTGGAAGATGATCAGAAGAAGGCATGGACTTTGGAAGCCTGTGCCCAGCCCTGTGTCATCATGAGCCTCCCTTTGTCCTTGGCTCCCAGAGAGTATTAGGGTTGCTGTTTCAAATCTACTCTGTGCTTTGCTGTGAAGAGTGGCGGGATCTTAACAGAGATTAACAGCACAGCTGCTGAAGATGACACAGCTCATCTGCAGAGGGCAAGGCTCAGCTCATCACTGGTCCCCACCCAACCCTAGCATGCATCTAGTCCTGGAGTAGTCCCCTGTCCTTTGTCATGTTCCTGTATCATTTCAAAAGGCCAGATGCCACAGATACCATTGCACACACCATAGGCATAGTCATTGGATAATATATGGGGCACTGGGCCATATGTGATGTGGCAAATCACCATCACCAGATAATCCACTGTGGTGTAAGCTGCGGAAGGCATACAGAAGCAGCTGATGAGTTAGGTTTAGGCTGATTTTAGATAGGAGCAGGAAAAGTATCCATAGAGAAACATCTATGTTGGGAACAAATTATGTTGGAATAGAACAATTTTTCATCTTATGAAAGGGATGTGAGGTTTGTAACAACAGCCCTGAACTTGATCCATGTAAAGCTTGCTGGAATTTTCTGCCATGGTGGGGAGATCCCACAGCTATGCTCTACAGTGTAAGAACCGTCAAAAATGGGCGTTTGTGTGTGTGAAATGGGACCATTACAGCTGAGAGACTGGTTTTGTTTATTTTTTATTTGAATTAGAAATATTATTTTACATGTCAATCCCAGTTCCCTCTCCTCTCCTCCTCCCCTGCCCCCCCCCCCAACTAACACCCTACCTATCCCATACTCTTTCTGCTCCCCAGGGAGGGTGAGGCCTTCCGTAGGGAGACTGGTATTGTATTAATTACTTGAAATTGAAATATATAGCCATCTTAGGCTGGCAGCTACCATGCCAAGCAGTGTGACTCTGCCCTTACATCAAGAGTGTTGGACAGAAGTCACTTGCTGTTACTTTGTAGCTGTTACTGAAACTTTCAGCTAGACTTGGTGGTGTAGGCCTCCCAGCCTAGCTACTCAGGAGGTTGAGACAGAAGGAAGGGTCACAAGTTCAAGGCCTGGCTAAGTTACTAAATGAGTTCAAGGACAGCTTGGGCAATTTAGTGAGACCCTATCTCAAAATGGAAAAAAAAAACCAAAAAGTCTGGGGATATAGTTCAATGGTATTTTCCTATCATGTGTGAGACATTCAGTTCAACACCGAGCACCACACACACACACACACACACACACACACACACACACACACATGCACGCATATGCACAAACACACAAACACATATGCACATATGCACAAATACACAAGCACACACACACACACACACACACACACAAATACATACACATGCACCAACACAAGCACATGCACAAACACACATACACACACACATGCACACACACATTCACACACACATGTACACACACACACAGAGGATACTGTAGTGTGGGTTGAAGTGCACACACAAGACCATGTCTACAGATCTAGAGTTCCTCAGGACTGTCTGTTTTCTTGTACTTCAGCTTCTCCTCCAGACAGACAGACTTGCCCAACATCTCCTAAGGCAGAGCTACCCAGATGTGTCCCAAATGTACTACCAAGCAGTGAGGTTTTGGGCCTCAGCCTGCAGGCAATAGGTTGGGGCCCAGGCTCTCTACACTGGGAATCTGGAGGCCATGCTTAGCCCAGAGAACTGATTTGTGTTTCCTCAGCCTTCAGGTCGCTTTGGCTCAGCTCTGGCCGTGGTGGACTTCAACAAGGATGGGCTGCCGGACTTGGCTGTGGGTGCCCCCTCCGTGGGCTCAGGACAGCTCACCTACAATGTAAGTCTGGGAAGGAGGCAGAGGTGGGGAAGAGGACAGGGCCAGGGAGCAGAGTCCCTTTCAGGGAGGAGATGGGAACTGAGAGGGAGTGTGTTCTGGAGAAGAGCTGGTCGGGTCCTTGGCCACACACAGCAGTGACTACAGACTGGGAGGCAGGGATAAAATGCCCCCCTCTTCCTTCGAGGCTCTCTTAAGTCTCATGGAAGTGAAGGTTTAAAAGAAACATAGCTAAGCATGGTGATGAATGGCTGTTATCTCTGACAGGAGGCTGAAGCAGGAGGATGGCCTTGAGTTCAAGGCCAGCCTGGCCTGCACAGTGAGTTCCAGGCCAGTACGGGATAAATACACAGCAAAACCTTGTGTTAAACAAACAACAATGATACACTCCCATGTCCAGACTGAGTTTCTGGGGACAGTGAATCCTCTCTGTTTTGCTGTGGTTTAGGGTTCGGGGTTCTTAACACCATGAAAGCATATGGTTTGTTGTCATTTGTGCTTGTCTAGGGTTCAGTGTATGTCTACTATGGGTCCCAGCAAGGGACGCTGTCTCCTTCCCCCAACATCACCATCTCCTGCAAGGTACGTCTCCGCCTTGTGTCAGGGACTCACTGAGCTGCTGCCCGTGGCCTCTGGGGCTGATGGATTCCTTTTTCCCTTCTAAGGACACCTACTGTAACCTGGGCTGGACCCTCCTGTCAGCAGATATGGATGGAGATGGCCAGCCTGACCTGGTGATGGGTTCACCTTTTGCACCTGGTGGAGGGAAGCAGAGAGGGATTGTTGCTGCCTTTTATTCACGTCCCAGACAGAGTGACAAAGGTAGAAACTGGTGGGGAGGGACAGGGATTCCAGCTCGACTATGGCTGCATGATATCTCTTGCATATGGACCTGTGTTGTTTTTTTCCTGAATGTGTTATGTCACGTGCTAAGAGACAGGATCTCTTGCTGACAGGGACTAGCAACAGATGGGGAGAGAGTCGCCAATGAGGGCAGGTGAGATGGCTCAGTGGGTAAGGGGCTTGCTGCTAAGCCTGACAGCCTGAGCTTGATCTCCAGAACCCATATCGTAGAGGGAGAGAACTAACTCCCAAAAAGTTGCTCTTTGACTTCCACATGCATGTCATGGCATGTGTGTACTCAAACACACACACACACACACACAAACACACACACACCATAAATGTTTAAAAAACATTGCTCACTGAGTATATAAAAATCACAAAGGCTCCTCCAAAGCTAGACAGAGAAACCCTGTCTCTAAAAACCAAAAAAAAAAAAAAAAAAAAAAAAAAATCACAAGAGGCTTTTTTTTTGAGGGGAAAGGTTTTAGACTGGGTTTCTCTGTTTTGCTTTGGAGGCTGTCCTTCCTGGAACTCACTCTGTAGACCAGGCTGGCCTTCAACTCGCAGTGATCCACCCACCACCCAGCAGGTTATCCTTTTTTAAACAAAATTTTTAATTGATTCTTTGAGAATTTCACATCATGTACTCCAATCCTGCTCATTTCCCAGTCTGTCCATATCTGCCCCTCACCCCCATGGCATTTCCCCCACCCCCGAGAGAAAAAAATTTTAATTAATTAAAAATAAAATAAAGCAAGGAAGCAAACAAACAAAACACCCACTTTATTCCTCATCTTTCCTTCCTCTCCAACACCTCTTCATTCATCTTAGTGTCATTGGGAGCTGCAGTGTGTTGAGTATACCCTTTGGTCCACTCAGCTTTACTTGCAAATGTTCATTGTGTAATGTGTTGTTGGTCTGATTCAAGGCCTCCGGCTTCCAGTAAACCATCAATGCTGGACCCTCACCGAGACTCCTCTGATATCCTGCTGTTGCTCTGCGTCATGGAGATCTTGTGGCCATGGTTCCCCATTCCCCTTACGTACTCCTTCCCGTCATAGATGCGGTAGATGTTGGAGTATGTCAACTCAAAGTCTGTGGGTCAGGGTGATAGCTGATTTGGTCAGTCCTGGCCACTGGGACGGGCCCCCTCAGGCAAGGGGTGCAGCCAGCTCTAATATGCCTATATCATTAGGGCCAGCTCTCCCAGGCCTGTGGTGAGGGGTGAGGACATCTCTAAGTGTGGTGGCCCTGACCTCGGCCATCCTTACAGTGTTTGGTGGTAACACAGGCCACAGACATCAATGCAGACCCCATCTGGATCTGTGATCCTTGACTGAAACTTGGGCCCAGATATCACCATAGCCCTGTGTGGCAGTGAAGGACACTCAGATCTGTATGGCCCCAGCTGCAGCATGACCCTCAGACACCAACATGGCCTCAGGCGGCAGCCTCAACCCTGGGTATTCACAGGATTCCTGTTGATGATAACAGGAGCCATGGACATCAATACAGACCCCAGCTGCAGTAGGGCCACAGACCCAGACATGGCCCTTGACCACAGTTTGTGTCCAATTGACACCATGGCCCAGGGTGGCAGCATAGGCCACCCAGAGCAGTATGGCCCTGGTGGAAGAGGTTATTCTCACAGCTTCAAAGTGTGAAATAGAAATTCTATGAAGGCTGAGGCCAAAGTTATCCCAGCCATTCCAACTACCCTGAGAAATGCTTTTCTTTCTTTCTTTCTTTCTTTCTTTCTTTCTTTCTTTCTTTCTTTCTTTCTTTCTTTCTTTCTTTCTTTCCCTTCCTTCCTTCCTTCCTTCCTTCCTTCCTTCCTTCCTTCCTTCCTTCCTTCCTTCCTTCCTTCCTTCTATTTTTTTTTGTTTTGTTTTTTGAGACAGGGTTTCTCTGTGTAGCTTTGGAGCCTATCCTGGCACTCGCTCTGGAGGCCAGGCTGCCCTTCAACTCACAGAGATCCGCCTGCCTCTGCCTCCTGAGTGCTGGGATTAAAAGTGTGCGCCACCAACGCCGGGAGAGAAATGCTTTTCTAAATAGTATCTTTACCCGTTGGAAATGAGCTCCACAAACATACTTCTTGTCTGAAGAGTGACATCTACTTCTGATGTTGGGGTCCTGGGATCCATATATGACAAAGGGGTTCTGGTAAAATCTCAGAAGGGACCTAGTTCTCATATGTTCATAAACAGGATGCTTCCTTTCAGTTCCAGGTCCTCCCTCACAAAGGGAGTGGGTACCATTCATTTAGTCATGTAGGGGTTTTGTTTTGTTTTAAGGCAGGGTCTCATGCCACCCACCTAGTCTCAAAGTACAGAGAGCCAAGGATGACCTTGAACCCTTGGTCCTTCTGCCTCCACATCCCAAATTCTAAGATAATATATGTAATCACCATGCCCATACCACACCTTACTTTGTTTCTTTCATGTTCGTTTATTGGGACTGGGTGTCACTGATTGGTGATTAGTTGGTTGGTTGATGGAGATGGGTTTTTTCTTTAGAAATACTGACTGTGGAGGAAGCTGACTGGAAGGTGAGCGGTGAAGAGGACTTCTCTTGGTTTGGCTACTCCCTTCATGGGGTCACAGTGACAAACAGAACCCTGCTGCTGGTTGGGAGCCCCACCTGGAAGAATGTCAGCAGGTCAGTCTTGGCATTGGCATCTGGGGAAACAATGTACATAGGGGCAGGTGCCAGCTATTGTGGGCATCCCTGCTTTTGCTGTAGTGGGGAGGTAGAGGTTGGATGTGAGACCTGGGAGCCTCCATGTTGGTGAGATTAACTGCATAGGTGCCAGTGTCTGTGGTCCAGGATCACAGGACAGAGCCCAGAGGATGCATGATGGGGTGAGGCTCAGCTTTGTCCCTGGACCTTAATCCCCAGGACTCTGCATCCTGCACCTGCCACTAACCATTGTGTTTTCTCCAGGTTGGCACGCTCAAGCCATAGGAACCATGAGAAAAACAGCCTGGGAAGGGTGTATGGCTACTTTCCTCCAAACCGCCAGAGCGAAATTACTATTTCAGGAGATAAGGTACCACAGCCTCCTTCTGAAAGTCGTGCTGCAGCTAGCTTGGCTGATCAGTAATGATCAATTATTCCTTGCAGACAATGGGAAAGCTGGGTACCTCCCTGTCAAGTGGCCATGTGAGGCTGAATGGGACCCTAACACAAGTGCTATTGCTTGGAGCCCCTACTCATGGTAGGTTACCCACATGCTGTTTTTTTTAATGTAGTTGTTCTATTACCAATAAAGACTCGGAAGTCAGATACTGGGACGAAAACCTGATAGAACAAAGATGTGGTGGAGAAGCAACCAACTGACCTCCCCTCCACTCTTCCTAGACTAAAAGGGAAGGACAATAGCCTGAGAATCTCCAAGTCCCTCCTTACTCCTTCCTGTACCTCTCTATCCATATCCTGGGCCTCCTCTTCTCTCTAATTCTTGTGAACTAGTCAATGGCTCCGCCCCCTGACTCAAGGTTATCTTTATGAAAACAGTCTTGGGGTGTCATAATGCAATCAAATATCCCACAATACTTATTCCTTTTGTCTTAATAAAAAGGAAAGGCTTTAACTCTAATACAGTAAAACTATATACAATAAGAACAATTATCAGGTAAGAATTACATTGTCCAGTCCATTTGTATTTGGCAGAGAAAATACTTTATTATCTATCCTATCTTGATGAATCTAAAATTTTATACCTAAACCACTTTCTGTAACTTGTATTACCAGCCTAAAATATTCTTTTAGGCCTTAAACTGTCTTCTTAGATAAATAGCTTAAACTTTTATGTTCTTAACCTTATAAGCTTTATATCTCTTTTGTAAGTTTCTTTTCTGAATTTAGCAACAAAGAAAATGGTATAACTATCTAGTCTTCAATCTCTATTAGAGACCTGAGAAGGATAAAATATTACCTGAGTATACAGGAAGAACAGAAAAAAAAAAAAACAACGTCTAAAAACTATAAAAATTACAGAGGTCACTGGCTTCCTGGACAATCACTCAAGGTTCCTCTGCAACATTGGGGCATCCATCTTCGGCCAACAGGCCGAGAATATCTGAAAGACTTTTCTGGGAAGCAGAATTTGGCAAAGTTCAGCAGTTGCCTTCTCTTGTGTCCTTGCCAGCAGTAGAGGCAGGGGCAGTTTCTTGCCCAGTGGCTTACTTTGACACAATAAAAGCAAACTCCAAATGGAGGTTCTTCGATGCTCATCATCTTCTCTCAAGTAGAATGGTGTTGACAGGAGATGTGTCTCACTGTCCTGAAAAGCCTTACGTTGTTAAAACATCTTAAATGCCATATTCTGTAGGCCTCTGAAGTGTTTGAAGACCACCTATCTATCTAAAATGCATAGCTGTTTGATCTTGAAAACATTCCTAACATTACCACAAGTTTGATTATTGTAGATGGATAACAACTAACCTGAATTTCTTAATTATCCCAAATAGTTTGTAATAATAGCTTTCAAGGACTAGAACTTTACATTTTTAAATGAGCTGGTAAATTCAAGATTAGGAACATATATACAGTATGTTACAACAAAAATAACCTTAAATTTATATCAATATACAAAAGATTATACCAATTTAAAATATTTGAGACTAGTAGTTGATTTTTAGTTTAAAAGTAGATTTAATAATCTACCCTTTTATCCTATCATTCCTATACCCCCTTTTTTCTTTTCAGAAAGAGATCCCTGAATCTAACCTCCATTTCTTAGTTTTCTCCCTGACCATGACCAAAAACAACTCACAACTAATCCTCCTAAATAATGATGTACATCCATATTCCACTGAACAATCAAAAACCACCCACATGACCTTTTGGGTGTATGGGCATTGTGTTCTTAAAATTACTTTCTATATCTGGGGGCAACAGCATCTTTAGGGAATCCTGATAAAATTGAGATAATGGTCAAGTCCTGGGAGAGTCAGCTGTATCATTTGTTGTTCAGTGTCTGTGTGATGGGAAAGTGCAGGGCTTATCTGAAGTCCTGGCTGGAGGAGTCTGAGATGCTGGACCATTTTAGCTAACTGCTTTGAAATTGTCCTGAGGAGTTTATAGTCTGAAGTTGATCTTTGGGTTGTGTTTGTCAGCTTAGTGGCATTACCACATTGCAGGTGGATTTGTCATCTTGGAGACCCCAAAGGTCATTGCCTGGAATGATCTCAATGCAGAAAACTTAAAATATTTTAAATGTAATATGCCGCAGATCTCTGAACAGTTAAAGGATCATCACCTGTTAAATATATCCGGGGTACTTAGTTTCTATTTACCTGCTTAGGACTCAAGCCCTAAATCATGTAAAGGAAAAGAGATAAAGCTTATTTCTAGAATTAGTTAATACTCTGTAGGATCATTAGTGTCACCACAGAAAGCTTAAATATATGCAATAATCTTATAAATTTTGAGATAATATTTAATACCCTAAGAAGGGTTTTAAAGAATCAAGTGGAAATCAAAGGATGATGAGATTAATAGCAATAGAATAGTCCCATAGTTTTTGTTTTATTCTGTCGCATACCACGTGGCTCTTCTGACATGAGACAGATATTTTGGGTTTTCCTTTAACAAGAATGCTTATGTTTAGAGAAGGAGAGTCGTGCTCCAACTCCAAAACCAGCTTTAATTTTTAAGTGAAAACCAGGTATTGGTGGCTCATTGCTTTAATCCCAGCACTTGGGAGGCAGGGACAGGCAGATCTCTGTGAGTTAGAGGCCAGCCTGGTCTACAGAGTGAGTTCCAGGACAACTTCCAAAGTAATACAGAGAAACCCTATCTCGAAAAATAACAACAACAAAATAATAATTTTTTTTAAAAAAATTGAATTGGGACTACAAAAAGACCATTTGCCTTATATGTCTGTAGATAACAGCAGAAACAAGCATTTGGGAATATTTATGAAATTCTACCGTGTTGTAGGTGTGTAATACCATTACGCCAATTTACTCCCTTTCTTGGGATGTTTTCTCTTGATAATTCATCCTTCTTCTTCAGATATCCCATTTGTCCAGCAGTTTTTAGATTCCTTAGTCAGATGCATTTATTCTCCTGGAAGACAAAACCAAAACCCTGCCCCAACCCTAACTTAGGGAGTTCCTTTTTTGACAGGTTCTTTGTTAAGACAAAATTGGCTTAGCGGTTAAGAGCACTGACTGCTTTTTCCACACACATGGCAGCTCACAACTGTCTGTAACTTCAAGATCTGACATCCTCGCATAAACACACATACAGGCAAAACACCAATGCATGTAAAATAAGAATAAAGAAATTAATCCCAGCACTCGGGATGCAGAGGCAGGCCGATCTCTGTGAGTTTGAGACCAGCCTGGTCTACAAGAGCTGGTTCCAGGATAGCCTCCAAAGCCACAGAGAAACCCTGTCTTGAAAATCTCCCCTCAAAAAAAGAAAGAAAAAGGAAATTAAAAAAATATTTTTGGCAACAGAAAAAGTGTCAGGGACTGTTTGTGGGGCTGCAATCGGAGCCAGCTGAGCAGTGCCAGGTTCATACCTGAGTGGGGGTGTGTGGATGAGGGAAAGGCTAGCAAAAGGGGGTTAAGAACAGAGACACAGGATAGCTGTTGGGAGGGCAGATTCATTCCATACTGAATGTGCCCCAGTTTATTCATACACTATCTTATGTATTCAACCAACAGTGAGGACAAAAGGCAGAAGACTTCTATTATCTTGCATAAGGGGCAAAGAGACTTACTTCCTAAATCCTCCAGGTATTTTGTAGCCACACATTCAGCCTGCAGGGTGGAGAGTAAACCCACCTGGGCCCAAACCTATTGTTACTTAGATAAGAGACATTCACCACCAAGGTGTGAACATCATATAGCCTGCTAAGCTAATGTTTTATAGACAGTAAGACAGATTTGAGCTCTCTGAACTTGTAGTAAGATGGAATGAACTCTTTTTCATGGGTCCTGACAAAAAAGTGTTATCTTTTAATAATAAAAATATTATTTTTTCATACCTAGTCAAATGAAAGGCATTTGTTAGTTTTATAAGTCATTTTGGAATTTTTTGGTTTTTTTTTTTTTTTTTTTTTTTTTTTTTTTTTTTTTCCGAGACAGGGTTTCTCTGTGTAGCTTTGGTGCCTATCTTGGCACTCTCTCTGGAGACCAGGCTGGCCCTGAACTCACAGCGATCAGCCTGCCTCTGACTCCTGAGTGCTGTTATTAAAGGCGTGCTCCACCAACACCCGGAGTGGTTTTTGTCTTTTTTTTTTTGGATTTTTTTTTTAATCTAGTTAATCTTGTTTAATCTAATTTACCAATAAAGACTCGGAAGTCAGATATTGGGGTGAAAACTTGTTAGATCAAAGATGTGGTAGAGGAGTGACCAGCTGACCTCTCCACACTTCCCATACCAAAAGGGAAGGACAAAAGCCTTTGAATCTCCAAGTCTCTCTCTACTCCTTCCGGTGACACTCTATCCATATTTGGGCTCCTCTGTATTCTCAATAACTAAATCTTGTCAACTAGTCAGTGGCTCCGCCCCATGACTCAAGGTTAACTTTATGAAAACAGTCTTGGGGTGTCATAGTGTGATCAAATATACCACAACAACATGCTATAAGGCTCTTTGACCATATTGCCTTAGCAGAAAGTCAAGGGAACTTGCCAGGCACAAGTGGACTTAAATAATTCTTTTTAAAAAATCACGAGTAGCAAGTTGTGTACCTTTGGTGAGTTATTTAGCCTTTCTGAACTTCTTATCATCACCTGTAAAATAGTTATAGTATTTATTTCAAAAGTTGTTGAAAATGATGTATGAGCCGGGCGTTGGTGGCAAACGCCTTTAATCCCAGCACTCGGGAGGCAGAGGCAGGC